CCTATCACCTTTACCCTCATTCCTATCCTCTACCTTTTCCATCTCCCGATGCCTATCTCTGTACTATACGACCACCCTTCGGGTGATAAGGAGGTTCGGGGGGGGAGGAACCAACGTCTCACTCGATCGGTCTCACTATCGATCTCACTATCGATCTCACCATCGGTCTCGCTCGATCGATCTCACTCAATGGATTTCACAATCGATCTCACTCGATCTATTTCATTCGATCGATCTCACAATCGATCTGACTATCGATTTCACAATCGATCTCACTATCGATCTCACTATCGATCTCACAATCGATCTCACATTCGGTCTAACTATCGATCTCACAATCGATGTCACAATCGATCTCACAATCAACGTCATCATCATCATCACCAACATCATCGTCATCAACGTCATCAGCATCATCATCGGGACACCATCATCATCATCACCTCATCACCATCATCATCAACATCAGCATCATCGTCATCATCATCGTCACCATCATCAACATCATCATCATCGGGGCACCATCATCATCATCGGAGCACCACCATCATCATCATCACCATCATCTTAGCATCACCATGCACAACATCATCATCGTCATCATCATCATCGTGGACACCATCATTATCATCAGCAACAACATCATCATCAACATCATCACCATGATCGGGACACCATCATCATCGTCACCACAATCATCATCACCATCATCATCATCATCATCATCATCATCATCATCGGGGCACCACCATCTTCATCAACATCAGCATCATCACCATCACTATAATCGGACCACCATCATCAAAATCATCATTATCATCACATCATCATCATCATCCTCATCATGAATATGATTATGATCAGCATCATCATCATCATCATCGGGAGACCATCATCGTCATCATCATCATCAGCATCATCATCGGGACACCATCATCATCTTCATCATCATCATCATCATCCCATGATCATTTTATCATCATAAACACCGTCAGGATCATCAACATCATCATCATCATTATCATCATTATCATCATTATCATCATCGTGACACCATCATCATCATTATCACCAACATCATCATCAACATCATCATCATCATCTTCGGGACATCATCACCATTACCACCATCATCATCACCATCATCACCATCATCATCATCAACACCGTCAACATCATCATCATCATCATCATCATCATCATCATGGGGCACCATCACCACCATCACCATCATCATCATCATCATCAACATCATCATCATCAACATCATCGACACCATCATCATCATCAGCAGCAGCAGCAGCAGCAGCAGCATCATCATCATCATCATCATCATCATACCGACGGGACACCGGCGGGACACTGGCGGGACACCGCGCCCCACCGGCCCCCGGAAAGGAAACATTTGGTCTGGCCGCGCCTCAGCCGGAGGCTGGACACCGGCGGGACACCGGCGGGACACCGCGCCCCTCCGGCCCCCGGAAAGGAAACATTTGGTCCGGCCGCGCCTCAGCCGGAGGAGACTTACTTCTCGCCCGCCCACGCAGCTTCGCCTCGCCCGCACACACGGCACGCACGAGCACGAAACCGAAACCGATTTCCCGGTAGGGGGGCTCTCCGTTCCACTTCGATCTCATCCCCTCACCTCCGATCCCTATCCCTGTATTCCTAGCCCTACATCCCTATCCCTGCCCTCTCCCTATCCCCCACTTTGGCCCCCATCGTGGATCCCACATCGTGACCCCCCATCGTGGCCTCATTTCAACTGTGTAAAGCTATCGAGGGTCTTCTGCCGCAAGGGTGTCATCTCTTGTGATTTGTTTGGGAAGTTTTCAGTCCACGGGGCCATCATCACAGTTTCACACATATAAAGGCTTTTGGAGGCCCGCGCTGATCTCCTGGGTCAGCGTCGACACAGGAAATCCGCGCTGAACTCGGAACGTAGAAACGCTTACGCTGTTTACTGTTCTTCTACCCTCTGGTAAAGGGGGAAGAGGGTTTCGGACCTGACGCAACGCATTGCACAGTCAGGGGGGCGATCCTCTCCTGACTTGACAGTCGAGGGCTGCGCCGCAACAGGGAGCGAAGTGGGAGGAGCACGACCAAGAGGCGGATGTTCTGGGAGGCATTGGTCGGAGCTGTTGCATGGGGCCAGCAGTTGTTGCATGGGGGTCGGGAGCTGTTGCAGGGGCGGTTTGCGAGGAGGGAGGCGAGGAGGCCGATGCCCTCCTGCCCTGGACACCCTCCGCGCGGGCGCGGCGTGGCCCCCCCCCTTGGCCCGCGGGACGAAAAGCCGCACCCTCAGAACGTCTACGAGGGCGGCGCGCCGGAGGACACCCAGGAGGAGCAGAAGGCAGAGAGCAAGAAGTCGTCGCCGCTGCGGACGCTGCTGCTCGGCGGGGACTTCCTCCTCTCGGCCATGCTCGGCGTGTCCTTGACGAAGCTCTGCATGAAGGCCAGCCTCCCGGCTGCGACCACGAACGAGGTGCTCCTCCTGATCGTGAATCTGTACAAGCTCGTGAGGCGGCGGGTGTGTTCCCGCGGGAGAGGGATGGGGAGCGGTGGGGAGCGGGGGAGTCAGGGATAGGGGTGGGGATGGAAAAAGTCACTCCCTGGCAATGATGTGCTGCCCCAGCCCGCCCTGGCAGGGCCCACACGTTCGGCGTCGCAGTCCGTTCGTGGCGCGTGGCCCTGGGGATCTCGGCTCCCTCCTCGTGGCCAGCTTCTGATCCCAAGCCGCCTTTGACGGTCCCGGGACCTAGAGAGGGCCCCCCCCCCAGGAGTGTGAAAATGGCGAACGGCCTCCGTCGTGGTTGCCCACGACGCGAGGGGGGTCTGGGTCCTCCTTCAGAGTTCTTTGAAAATCGGTCCCGGACCCCTCCATGGGTCCATCCTGACCAGTCTTTCGAGCTGCCTCTAGGCGTAGCGACGAGAATCGCCTGAGGCTGACGCAGAGGAAGCTTCGATCCTGGAACTTCGAGCCTCGATCCTTCTCTGCCCTCCCCCCGGGGAGGCAGCAGTGGCTCTGGCAGCGATTCGGCCTCGGGCACCGCACCGAAGCAGTTGAGGAAGCATGCGCGTGAACATGGGCTTGCGGACGTCCGCGCGGCTTTCTTGGCTCGGCGCTGGCCCGCCCCCTGGTGGCGCCACCGCCCCTGGCATGCTCCGCGTGCCGGGGAGAGGGGTGTCTGCGCCGATCCAGGAGGAGGAGGAGGAGGAGGAGGAGGAGGAGGAGGAGGAGGAGGTGCCTGTGCAGGTGGTTGCTCTTCTCTGGCCGCGCTCGGGCCGCGGACCCCGCCCCGAGGCAGCACACGTGCGGGGGCGAGAAGACGGACAGCGCGGTCCGCCTGACGCAGTGCATCCGCGCCCTCCTGGTGGAGGGCGGCAACGCGCTGGAGGTCGCGGGCGGGTTGTCGGGGGTGGACAGAACCCCCAACAGTGACACGTCGATTGGTGAATTGTCCGTTTTCGGTTCTCGAGAGGGCGCCGCGGCCGTTATTTTCCAGGCTCGCGCCCGCCAGGTTTGGGCCTCAGGTCGTTTTCACCAAACCACGTTTTACTAAAGGGGGGTCTGCCCATCCCCGAGGTTGGCTCAATTCCTCGGGGGCAGCGGTGCTCCGAGCCTATCGCAGTGAAGGAGTGGGGGGTCCCGAGGGAAGCGGGGATCCGAGATTTCTGGCCTCGTTCGAGCTCCCGGGCCCCTCGCCGGGCCACGGGACTGTCAGAGACCGGCGCAGGATGGAGATCTCGACTCGCAGTCGACGCAGTCAGGTTTCACCCGGTGTTGCCAGATGTGTTCCTGGTGCAAGTGTGCCTCCAGCTTCTCGCGCCGTTCTGGAGCTGGTGGGGCCCTCTTCTCCGGGCCTCGCGAAGTGTGCTCTGGAGGTGTGCTCCTTGGAGGCCGTGCGGGGCTGGTTCATATCCGTGGTCGACAACCAGCCCCATGCGGCACAATTCTGTGCAATCCTGCTGCTCCTCCCCCGAGCCCGGGGCCATTGCAGGATTTTTGCTTTCAGTGCCTTGCAGTCGTCACTGGTCGGTGGAGTTGCGCTGGGAATAGCCCCCTCGAGGGGAAGCGGATCGGGCGGTCTTCGCGCAGGAAAAAAAAACAATTCTGTGCAATCCTGCTTCATCCGCCTTCACTCGGGAAGCGAACACTGACATAAACATAACTGTTCGGAGGTCCGCGCGGATTTCTCGGATCGGCGCTGGAGCCCCCTGGCGGCGCCTCCGGCACTGCCCCTGGTCCAACGCCGATCCGAGAAATCCGCGCGGACCATTGAGTTTTGATGTTTATGTCATTGTTTCCCTATTTGCCGATTTTGACCCTGGATTAATAAAGCTGTCCGTCGATTCGGCCGAGTGGCTCCACCCTCGGGCGAAGTGGCCGTCAACCAATCCTGCGAAGAACCCCCAGGAGTTGGCTCCTGACCTTTCTGGCACTGATGGGCCAAACTTGAGCCACCACTACCAGAAGTAGGACGAGGGAAAAGGAAGGATGGGGAGGTCCTCCTCCTCCTCCTCCTCCTCCTCCTCCGCCTCCTTCTCCTTCTCCTCCTCCTCCTCCTCCTCCTCCTCCTCCTCCTCCTCCTCCTCCTCCCTCTCCTACCTATGGAAGTGGTTGTGGGGAATCGGCGCATTAGGCACCACCCGATTCCATCCTCTCGAACGGAACGGCGCCCCCCCTGCCCGACTCGCCTGGATCTGGTGCGCAGGGCCGAGCCCGCTTGCCCGCCGCCTGCCCAGGCGAGCCACAGCTGCGCGGCCGCGCTGCTGAAGGACCGCGTGCTCTCATTTTTTGTCTCCGCAGGGAAAGTGCAGTCGGCCCTGATCATTAGGTCGAACCTGCTAAGTCAAGGGTAGCCTTGTGTCCTGTCTTTGAAGAGGCGTGCCTCTTACATTCCTGCGGCAATGTATCCCTCGGAAGGGTCTTGGTGTCCTCTCGCGTGTCCTCTCCAATCAAGTCCGACTGTAGGCGTGCGGCATGCCCGGGGGAGGAGAGGAAAACGGACAGATCGTGGGCGACAAATACCAGGATCCGTGTCCACGGGCCTCGCGGGCCAGGCCCCTGGGCCGCGACCCCATCGGACCGCGAGTTTCCGCGGGATCGCGCCCCGGAGTCCAGGCCGCGAGGGCGCGGATCTGGGCAGGTTCGCCTCTCGTGGGCAGAGTGGGAGCGGCGTGGGGAGGGAGATCCTCTTTAGCTTCGGGGCGAGTCCGAGGGGGAGCCAAGCGACAAGCCAGCGCCCCAACCTTCGGGGGAGGGCCAGGAGACCCTTCCCCTCAGGCGACGCCGTCCAGGGAGTCCACGGGCCAGGGATAGGGGTCGTGGCATGCCCCGACCCCTCCTGCTCCTCTCTGGAGCCGCTGCCGTGAGCGGGGCCTCTCCCTCGGCGGGGGTGGAGGGAAGGGCAGCGAGAGAGAGAGAGAGAGATCGCAACAGTTCGGCGGGCCGAAGTCCGTCCGGGCGCGCGGGGTGCAAGCGCCCTCGGTTATGACCACGAGAGGGAAAGCAAAGACGGGATGTTGCGATGAGGGCGAGACTCGCCCCTGCTGCACGGCCGTACCCCCGTGAGCAGAGAGGCACAAGCCTTACACACGCTTTGCCATGCGGGATCCGGTGCCCGCGACAGAGAAGGCGCCACTTTGGGCCCCCCCCCGCGGCTGCCCAGAGCTCCAGCTACGGAGCAGTTGCCAACAGCTCGCGCAGCACACTCAGAACGTGGAGAGGTAAGCACCGGAGTGCTATCGGTGAGCCTCGTTGGTACGCCTGGCCGCCTGGTTGCTCACCTGGGGAGAAGCCTCGAGGCGAGCAGGCGATCGGGCCTGATGAAGATCGATCTAGACGGTCTGTGCTCTCTGGGATATGTCAAGGCGGGGCCCCTATTATTCTGGGTGCTGTGCAGCTTATGCCGGAGGGGCGCCAACAATACACCACCGCCAGCCCTGGCCAGACCAATCCTGGGCCCTGGACTGGTGTATAGACCGCCAGGCCTGGGCCAGGAGGGCCTGTACACCAGATCAGGGCCTGGGATGGGCCTGGCCAAGCCTGGTAGCACACTGAGGCGTCGTCGTGATGCTGGTAGTGCGGTCGGTCCCGGCAGATTGACTGGCGGCTGTGATGCGTTATGTGGCGCGCTTTCGCTCAGTGACCTTCACTGGAGTCAGTCGGGACAGTTGGGTTTGTTGTACTGGCCGTCCCGACCGCGCCTGGTTGCGGGCGGCTGGGCTGAGTTGGCGTGAACCGAACAGACGGCCAGCTCACCGACTCCCGTGCTGACCTTCTCTCAGACTCCAGGGCCACACGGTGGGGCAACCGACGCGCCCCGACACCACAACTCACCGACCACCCCACTCAATCCGACACTGCATACACACACTTTCTTGGTGAAGGGATGGAAGCGGGGCATGGCGATATCATCCTCATCGCATTGCAACGCTACGTGTCCAACAGTGCATTCAACATGTGGTGATGTTTACCTGGCTGGAGGTTCCCACAGCTTGCGTGGACAGAGGAGCTCGCTTTGAGTGACGACTGTGCACGAGGATGGGCTGGCGTTCCCAAGACTCGGGTCTGATGCCGGCTCCGGACCAGCTCCGACGCCAGCTCCGACGTGCCGCCAGGGTCTTGTGTCTACTAGGACGAGAAGCGGCGGACAAATCCCGCCCCTCAAGCACGACTTCTGCATCCACAACTTCACCGCCGTCCCAGATACCATCGCGTCAGAAGCACGCCGGGCATCCAGATAATGGTACTTTCGCTGTGCCCCCATTCACGATTTCGGCAAGGGCCTTTCTGTTGCTTGGGCATGCCGGTCCATCCGCTATCCCGCTGCAGAGGCCCCTCCGTTTGGGATCACCAGCAGCGCCACGTTGTTTTGGCACGACGGGCTCCAACAGCACCACGATGAGCGGTGCGATGGGTTTCCAACGGCACAGCGATGTGCGAACGACGGGGGCTCCAATTGTACGATCCTTCACAGCTGGCCGACCTGGCCTACAGCACGAGGGTGGCCACCACAATGGCATCTTGCAGCACGAACGGCGACACCAGCCGACGCGGTCAACAGCACGAGTGAGGCCAACGCGACGGACGTTAGCAGCGCGACGAGCGCTTGCAGCGATGCTCTGGCCGAGAACTTGTGAGGACTGGGAGTGGCGGCTCCAACTGCTTCTCCCATTCCGACTCCTACTCCGACTCTGGCTCCCGCCCCAGCGTTGGTGCAGAGACTCTCCTGATTAATTCTCTTGCACAGGGTGTCTAGAGCTCCGACCACTTTATTTCGGCGTCGTCGTCGCTCCCCCCCAGCTGCCTTGTGCCCTTCATGTGTCGCTATATGTGTCGCTGTCTGCCTTGTGCCCTTCATGTGCCGCTATATGTGTCGCTGTGTGTCGCTATGCGTCTCCATGTGTGCGTCGCTATGTGTCGCTGTGTGTCGCTATGCGTCGATATGTGTGCGTGTGTCGATATATGTCTCTATATGTCTATATGTGTCGCTATGTGTCGCTCCCCAGCACCCCAGCGCACCGCCCCCTCCGCCCCGACGACTTTATTTCGGCGTCGTCGTCGCCCCCCCCCCTCTCCCTCTCCTCAGCAGCCCAGCGCGCTGCCCCCTCCGCCCCGACCACTTTATTTCGGCGTTGTGTCGACATGTGTCGCTATGTGTCGCTCCCCAGCACCCCAGCGCACCGCCCCCTCCGCCCCGACGACTTTATTTCGGCGTCGTCGTCGTCAGCAGCCCAGCGCGCCGCCCTCCGCCCCGACCACTTTATTTCGGCGTCGTCGTCGCCCCCCCCCCCCCTCCCTCTCCTCAGCAGCCCAGCGCGCCCCTCCGCCCCGACCAGCCCCCTCGCCGCCCCGACCACGTTTATTCGTCGTCGTCGTCGTCGTCCCCCCCCCGGTCCTTTTCCCCAGCAGCCCAGCGCACCGCCCTCTCCGCCCCGACCACTTTATTTCGGCGTCGTCGTCGCCCTATTTCGGCGTTGTGTCGACATGTGTCGCTTTCCCCAGCAGCCCAGCGCACCGCCCTCTCCGCCCCGACCACTTTATTTCGGCGTCGTCGTCGCCCTATTTCGGCGTTGTGTCGACATGTGTCGCTATGTGTCGCTCCCCAGCACCCCAGCGCACCGCCCCCTCCGCCCGACGACTTTATTTCGGCGGCGTCGTCGCCCCCCCCCTCCGCCCGACCATTTATTTCGGCGTCGTCGTCGCCCCCCCCCCCCCCCCTCCCTCTCAGCAGCCCGGCGCGCTGCCCCTTCCGCCCGACCACTTTATTCGGCGTCGTCGTCGCCCCCCCGTGTCCTTTTCCCAGCAGCCCAGACGCCCGCCTTCTCCGCCCCGACACTTTCGGCGTCGTCGTCGCCCCCCCCCCCCCCCCCCCCGCTCTCCCTCCGAGCAGCCCAGCGCGCCGCCCCCTTCGCCCCGACCACTTTATTTCGGCGTCGTCGTCGCCCCCCCCCCCCTTCTCCCCAGCAGCCCAGCCCAGCGCACCGCCCCCTCCGCCCCGACCACTTTATTCTCTTGCACAGGGTGTCTAGAGCTCCGACCATTTTATTTCGCGTCGCTCCCCCCCCCCCCGCGTCCTCAGCGCCAGTGGGGCCCCCGCGCCGTGGCTCTCTGCCCCAAGCCCCCCCGCGTCCCCAGCGCCCCAGCGGGGGCCCCGCCCACTGCCCCCTCCGCCACGAACGCTTTATCCCGCGTCGCACCTCCCCCCCCCGCGTCCCCAGCGCCAGTGTGGGACCCCCGCGCCGTGGCTCTCTGCCCCAAGCCCCGCCGCGTCCCCAGCGCCCCAGCGGGGCCCCCGCCCACTGCCCCCTCCGACACGAACGCTGTATTACGCGTCGCACCCCCCCCTCCGCGTCCCCAGCGCCAGAGTGGGACCCCCGCGCCGTGGTTCTCTGCCCCGAGCCCCCCCGCGTCCCCAGCGCCCCAGCGGGGGCCCCGCCCACTGCCCCTTCCGCCACTAACGCTTCATCCCGCGTCGCGCCGCACACCACCTCCCCCACCTCCCTCCCCGCGTCCCCAGCGCCCCAGTGGGGACTCCGCCCCGTGCCCCCTCCGCCCCGACAATTTTATTCCGCGTCGCGACGCACGCCACCTCCCCCCCTTCCCCCCCTTTCCCCAGCGCCCCAGTTGGACCCCCGCCCCGTGGCCCTCTGCCCCAAGCCCCGCCCAGTGCCCCCTCCGCCCCGACAGTTTATTCCGCGTCGCGGCACACATCACCACCCCTTCCTCTCCGCGCCCCCAGCGCCCCCGTGGGACCTCCGCCCCGTGCTCCCTCCGCTCCGAGCACTTTATTCCGCGTCGCGACGCACGCCGCCTCCCCCACCCTCCCCACCTGGGACTTGGGCCCCGTTGCTGGGCCCAGAGGGCGATGCCTTGCCCCCTCTTCCCCCCTCCTCCACCTCCTCCTCCTCCTCCTCCTCCTCCTCCTGCTCCCCCTTCCTTTTTGTGCAAGGGCTATGGCACACGTGCCACTTGTTCTTCACACGTTGGCATCGTTTCACGGGGAGACCATCCGAGAGGAGGGGGGACTTCATGTTAACCTCTCTGTCCTGGCGGCGTGGCCGACACCACCGATCCCGTCGATTGCAGCGTCGCTGGCCACATGCTGTCTGCCACGCTGGAGCCGAACGTCTGACCAGGTCCAGACCCCAGCTCCTGCTCCGATCTCGTTCGTCTCGCTTCTCGGTGTCGAGGCGGGCGTGGTGTTCCGTTCGCTGCTCGTCCCACTCGGCGTGGGGCTGCCGATGCTGGATCCCTTGGTCCTGCGCGTCGTGGTGGTTCTCGACTTCGTCCTGCTGCGCTGCGTCCCAGTGCTGGTCGCGCAGATGCTGCTGGTGGACATGCTGCTCGCAGCAGAGCTCATCGCGGTCGTGACTGTGAGGCTGCTGGTGCCCAGGTGCGCGGGCGCTGGCGGGCTGGCCATGGCCCTGGTTGCGCTGCTCGTCACCCTCGTGAGCCTGAGGGTGCCGCTGCTGACTCCTGTCGTGCTCTTCGACGCGCTGCCGTGCACCGCCCTCTCGCGCCGCTCCGCGTCGAGGCGCTGGCGACGGGCGTGCCGCCGAAAGACGTGATGATGCCCAACGTCGTGGTAGTCGACTCCGTCGGTGTTGGTCGCAGACATGCTGCTGGCAGCGTGGGCTCGGCGCACTGCTCGCCTCGCTCGTAGGAGTGGCGCTGCTGGGTCTGTACCTCGACGTGCTCGACGTTGTGTTGCTCGATGTCATCGTGCAATGCGGTGTCGCGATGGTCCCGGGCGTGGTGCTCCAAGCCGTGATGCTCGTTGCACTGCTCGTCTCACTCGTAGATGCGGGTTTGCTCCACAGTTGGGCGGGCCGAAGGCCCCGAATGGGGGTGCCCAAAAATCGTTCGTGCCGCATCATCCCTCTTGTCGCGACGTACACCGAGAGTGCGCGCGAAGAGATTGTCTGACGCGCAGCGCACAAGCTCGTGCTTCAGACACCACGCGCAGCAGTGCAGCAACGGTAATCAGTATCGCTGTCCCCGGGGCCTCCGCCGCGACCCTGGGGATCCGAGTTGCTGTCCCCGCGGACTTGTGTCGTTGGCCCGAGGGGCCTACGTCGTGGGTTCGAGGATTCCTGCTGTTGGGCTGTGGGCCTTGTGCCCATGTCCGGTCGTGTTCACGGGCGCCCTTCCCGATGCGGCCGCCGTCGGTTCATTTCAGCAGGTCCTGTGCCCAAAGACGCGGGCCCGACGGCGCCCAGAAATTTTGGCGCCCTGCCCACATTGTCTTTTAAAGTGGTGCCCAAAAAGGTTTTTGGATTTCTGTTGTGCCCGAATTTGGTTCGGGTGCGGGGATGTTCCGCACCGTTCGCCCGTTTTCATTTGGGGCCCATTCTTTGGCACCGAGCTTGTGCTCTCGGGCGCAACCGGGTTCTTTTGGGCGCACTTTGGGGCACGCGGTAGGCCAATTCAGGCATCCCTTCCAGGCACCGTACGGGCTCTGTTTTGGGCGCGCAGGGGGTGCATGCCAGGCGCGTGTCCAGGCATCGGATCGTTGGATTGTCGGGATCCCGTGTCGGTGCAGCGTTGCGGCGCTTCGTGGCGGCGCCGTGTCGCATCGGCTTCGTTTCGCCACGATTGAGCCCAATGGAGTTCTTAGAGGAGGCATTGAGGGCATTGGGCAAAAAGGGTAGGGGGCCAGGAAGGCATCGGGCAAACAAGAGAAGGGCCACGAGGGTATCGGGGAAAACCAGGATGGCAACCGCGAAGCATACCGCGCGCGAACAAACGCGACATTTCGGGGCACCGTTTGGGGCGCACTTTGGGCACCGTGCGGGGCACCGTAACTGTTTGAGACCAGCCCTATCTTGTCTTCATGTGCAACGTCGTGAGGCCCGATGCTGTCATGCTGCTGATAGTCGATGTGGTGGTCCTTGACGTGTTGCTTGAGGCCGTAACGCTCGTCGCCCTTCTCGTCGCACCCGTAAATGCTGTTGGTGCTGGGTCCCGTCGCCCGTCGCCATGGTGCTCGGCTCCGTTGCGTGCCCCGGCGTCCAGGTGCTGGTTGCAGCGGCGCAGCTGAAGGACGTGTTGTAAGCTGGACTCTTCGGTTCACTCGTGAGTGCGAGTCTGCTGGGGCTGAAGCTCGCCTTGCTGCTCGACGTTGTAGTGGTCGATTGCGTCGTGTTGCACGGTGTCACGATGGTTACAGATGTGCCGCTCTGGGACGTTGTGATCATATCACTAGTCGTCTCACTCTTGGATATGCGGCTGTTGGTGCTGGGTCATGTTTTGGTGCGCAACGTCATGGTGCTTGATCCCGTCGTGCTGTGCAGTGCCGAGGTGTTCGTCCCTGGCATGTTGCTCGAACACGTGGTGCTTCTTGCACTGCTCGTCTCGCTGGTAAAAGTGATTCGTGCTCGAGTCCGTCGTGTTTGGCAGTGCTAGATAGCTGGTGCCGTACGTGCTGCACTCCGCCTTTGTGCTCGTCGCACTGCTCGTCACAATAGTTGGCGCGATCCCTGGTGGGCTGGCCGCGACCTTGAGGACAAGCGGGATACGGCGTGTGCACGCCCTGATCAAGTTTTTGAATTTTCGTACTGGAGTCTGGAGTGGTGCTCTGCGGAGCGTGGTCCAGTGGTTTTAGTGAAACATGCGAGCCGAGGCAAGCTAAGACCGTCGATCGCCCAACGACGGTATTATAAGCAAAACGGTGCTGCATAACACACCGAATCTTATGAGCATGCCTAGCACCCCTATCACAATTTCGAAGAGAGGAGGAGTCGGGGCCAATGTGGTAATGGATCCCGCCGGCCCAGGTATTTCTTTCGCTGCTCGGTGCGTCGTCGGCAGTTTCCGCAGGCGCTTTTTCGGTCAGGAGCTCGCGTGGGGTCTTGCTCATTTCCTCATGCGGGGCCTCCTCAGCGTCGCTCTCCTGGATGCCCGGGAGAGGCAGCGTCATGACCTTTGGTCCCGTCGTGCTGCTCCTGTCCGCGAGCCCTGGCGTACTGCTCACGACCATGTGGGCGAGGGCGGGGGCGAGGAGGACGAGCGATAAGCGGCGGCGAGCGCCCGAGGAGAGCCTGTGCCGCTATGCGCCAGAGCGGATGTTGCCCAGGCGCTCCTTCTGCCCCCGGGCGTGCGTGGGCCCTGCCGGTGCCGTGGTCGAGAGTGCGACTGCTGGCGTCGGAGGCATGCTCGGGCCCTGGCAGGGGCTTCCGGATGTGTGCAGGCGGGCCCTGGCAAGGGCTTGCGGACCTGCCTCCGCCGCAGATTTTCCCGCCGTCGACGAGTCCGGCGTCTCTGCTGCTCTTGGCCCTGCCGTTGGCGCAGTGCCTTCCCTCTCTGGCCGCTACGGGGGCGATGGGGTCAAACTTGGCGTTAAGTCTTGCCTGTCCCTCTACAGGGGGAATTTTCAAACATAGGAAAAAATAGTATGGGGACGATTTTTTGATTTTTTGTCGGGAGGCAATATATATATATATATATATATATATATATATATGCAGGAAACAAGGTATATATCAGTGATTTGAGTGAGGATTCTTGTGCATGCGCTGTTGTGACATTTGTGTACTGTGGAGAGCCAGTTTTGGCTCAGTTCATGCTGAGGTGGAAAAGGATTTCACCAGCCCTGTCGGGCAAGGTCCGTGGACCCCAGCTCCGCTACTTAAGTTATCAAGATAACATTTCAGTACTTGCATGGTAGCGCGATTGGTTTCTGTTCTTCTCATGATGGCTGGTCTTGTGGACACACGCCTGCTGGGACGACCAAACAAGTACTCAGGCAACCGCGACGAGTTCCCGACCTTCAGATACCAGCTGATCAGCTACTTGGGTGCCATCGACCCGAGACTGGCACAGGCGGTCACGACAGCAGCTACCCACGGCAATGTCATTACGCTTTCAGAGATGGGTGACGAAACAAGCAGTTTGCAGCGACGATGGGACATATTCTATCACAGTTGCTTGGAGGCAGCGCGCTAACCTTGGTGATGAATTGTGAGCCAGGTAGCGGCCTGGAGCAGTGGCGACGCGTTTGTCTACGCGAGGATGCGGCTACTGGCTCCAACAAGGTGACGCAGCTACAGCTTCTTGTGAACGCAGAGTTTTCGGGCAAGTGGGAGACCTACGTCGAGGAGCTCACGAAGTTTCTACTGGACATCAACCGATATCAAGAGAAGTTTTCAGAGGTGATCTCAGACACCCTTGTCCAAGCCTTGATCAAGAAGAACACGCCCGAGCCGCTGAAGACTCAAGTGATGATGCAGACTTTCACGAACCACCAGATCCTACGGGAGACTTGCGAGGCCTTCGCTCAGCAGATGACGCAGCGCGACCCGAGGGTGACCAAGAAGAAGTTCGACCCGAACGCCATGGATGTGGACGCTTTCGACAAGGGCGGCAAGGGCGATTCCAAGGGCAAGGGCTTCGGCGGCAAGTCGGACCAGAAGGGCAGCGGTGGCAAGTCGAGCAGTCAAAGGAGTGCTTGACAGAGTTCGGGCGGCAAAGGTGGCAAGGGCGACGGCAAGAACAAGATGAAGAGCAAGAAGGGCGAGACGAAGCTCTTCGACGGATGGTGTTCGAATCCCCACTGCGGCAAGTGCGGGTACAAGATCGCGGACTGCAGGAAGTACGGCGGCGGCGCTTACCAGCCTGGAGGAGGTCAGCGATCCGTTTCTGAGGTTCAGCCAGGACTTCAACCAGCTCCAGGATCGGGCTCAGCAAGTACGGTCCATCCAGGAGATTCAGCGTCACAGACACGAGTATGTGGAGCTGGACGCGTACAGGCAGCAGTACTACCAGATGACGAAGGGGGTTGGATTTTTGCGTTTACGGACGACACTGACGGGGACGAATGCGAGATGCTCGTGGATAGTGGAGCTCACACTCATGTTGTGCCAAAGGCTATGACGGAGAAGTGCAAGCTCACAGGCGAGCCAGGTCAGTCTCTGCGATCCATTACTGGTAAGGGTATTCGGACTTGGGATAAGCGGACGTTGACGGGTGAGGTCTTCGATTCGAACACATCGATCCCTGCAAAGCTAGACGTCACGCCAGCTGAAGTTCGTAGAGGTGCCCTTTCAGTTGCAGAGATGAATGATGCAGGATATTCGGTACACTTTGATCCTGACGGAGCCAAGATGTTCAAAAGCAACAAGAATGTGCAGCACGAGATAGATAAAGCGATCGAGTCGACAGTGACTTTGCAGTTACGACGGAAGGTGAATGCGTTTCTTCTTCCGATGAGGTTCAAGGATCCGACAGGCTACGAGTCCATCATCGGCGATGCCGAGGACCACCCTGAGAAGGACGACGAGCAGATGAAGAAGGAGCCTGTCGAGACACAGCCTGTGGAGGTGCAGGCTGACAGTGGGGCGGCTAGTTCGCGTGATGGCCCACGTGGTGTCGCAGAAGGAGTTTCAGATCAGACGGGGGCGCCCGTCGCACCCGGGCTCGAGAGACCAGCTCGGATGTCAGGAGAACATGTCAGAGCGCACATTCGGAGAGGTCACATTCCTTTCGAAGCTTGGTGTCAGGAGTGCATGATGGGACGAGGGCAAGAAGACCCTCATCGCGCGAGAGATCCAAACGCATCGGCTACTCCAGTTATATCATTCGACTATGGGTTTCTCAGTCTTGGTGAAGATGGATCTGGTCGGCGTCTTACCCTGGCAGTCGGCAGGGACAGAAGGACAGGCTACCTCATGGGAGTTGTCGTGGAAGCTAAAGGCAACCAGAGCTGCGCTATAGCGGCCATCAGCGAGTACCTGGACGAGCTTGGCTACATGAGTATGGAAGCTCAGTTAGACGGAGAACCAGCACTGGAGGCACTCATGAATGGAGTGATTTCGGAGCGTATCAAGAAGTTCGACAAAGAGGCAGCTGAAGCTCAACTTCGAGTACGGCTAGTTCCAAAAGGAAGCCACGCTTCTCAAGGTGGAGTTGAGAGTGGAGTCAAGTCGGTTGCAGGTCTTGCGAGGACTGGGCGTTTGGCTCTGGAGAAGCGTTACAACATGAAGTTCACTGAGGATGTTCCTATCATACCTTGCATGATTCGGCATCAGATATTCTGCCACAACAGGTGCCAGCGGAGGAGGAGCAGCGGTCGCACATCTTTCGAGGAGCTCAGGTTGGCACCGTACACTTCACCCATGCTGGAGTTCGGAGAGACAGTGATCGGCAAGGAGCACACGGAGCTGCAGGACAAGCTGGGTACAGCCTGGTGCAAGGGACTGTGGCTCGGACGCAGTTCGAAGAGTGATGCTCATCTTATCGGCACGGCGGCGGGGGTAGTTCAGGCCAGGACAGTGAAGCAGCTGACGACGGAGGGGAGCTTCGACATGGAGATGCTCAAAGCCATGCGTTGGACGCCTTGGAGGACCTCGGTTAGAGCTGGAGTCTACGAGGGCGAGAATTGGCAGCCGACGGAAGGATGCCCTGGGTGTGAGTATGCAGCTAAAGGTCAGCACGGACGAGGACGGCCACCCCACCACAGCAGGACATGCCAGCAGCGTCGGGCCGAGTACGAGAAGTCAATCGCCAGCAAGGACGACGAGCAGCCGAAGGTGGTCGTGGTTCCCGTACCTACGGCCAGCTCGGAGGCTAACAACGGTGAGCAGCAAGCACAGCGACCAGCTGGGCCAGAGCCAGCACAAGGTCAAGTTCCAGTTGAAGCAGTTCGTCGGGAGGTGCAGAAGATCGAGAGGAGGCTTCGTGGCAAGCAGGGAGTACCAGCTCCAGGGGCACCCGCTAAGCGAGGAGCTGCTGACGCTGACATCGGTGAAGGCGGCCCTGGAGGTCCACCTGGAAATCGAGGCCTGGTGGGAGCCATCGAGAGCTTGAGTACTGGCGACCTCAAGAGGCTCGTGGCGGGCTTCAGCACGGAGGAGATGATGAGGCTCGTGGGCGAGGTCGACAAGGAGCTGAAGGACGACAGCGAGTTCAGCATCGTGATGGTCTGGACCGAGGACGACGAGTGGGAGGCGAAGCAGTGCGAGCTAGATCGGTTCGACAACTACGACGTGTGGGAGCTCACGCTGAGGGACCCTCGCGGGCCTAAGGCACTTACGTGGACTTGGGTTTTGGAGATGAGGAGTGGCGAGCTCAAGGCGAGGCTTTGTGCGCGACCATTCGGCAAGCAGGGCAACAAGAGCAAGAATGAGCTGTGCTGCCCTACTCCACTTTCGTTCTCACTCAAGCTGCTCATGGTCTACGCTATCGTTAAGGATTTCGCCATCTTCTTTTTTCGACATATCTCGAGCGTTTCTGTACGCGCCGATTCGGGAGTTGGTGTGCGCAGAGGTTCCGAAGGAGTACTGCCATCTTCCCGATGGTTCGGATTGGGTTTTCAAGCTCAATAAGACCGTCTACGGACTTAACGAGGCGATGATCGATTTCGACGACCACTTTGAGAACATCGCTACAGGACGGAGTGATGAATCTAAGATGACTTTCAAGAGGTTTCTTTCTGACCCGTGTACGTTTGCAGACAAGGCTAATCAAGTTGCTATGTCCAAGCATGTCGACGATGGCACGCTGGTGGGACCCAGGGTTTCAGCCAGCAAAGCGTTGGAGGAGCTCGACACACATTTTCTACTCAAGGTTCCTGAGCTCACAGTTGGTGGTCCTGAGATCAAGCACCTTGGACGTGGCTGGCTCCGCACCCCCGAAGGTATTCAAGTTCGCATGTGGCCTGCTATTGTCAAGAAGCTACTCGACTCAGAGCCCAATGATAAGAAGACGAGCCCAATACCAGGAGTCAGGAACGAGAAGAAGGTCGAGAGCGAGGAGGAGTTGGATTCCAAAGCGGCCACAAAGTTCAGGAGCGTCAACGGCCTCAACATGTTCGTGTGCTTGGGGAGGCCCGAGTGTCAGTACGCAGCGAAGGAGTGCTCGAGGGAGATGTCACGACCGACGGTGCAGGACCAGGCGAGGCTCACGCGCATCATCAGGTTCATTCGAGCTCACCCATCTTCAGTCACGTGCGTGTATCCAGACAGCGGCGAGTTCAAGGTTATCGGACGTGCAGACTCTAATTGGGCAGAGGATCCTATCGGGAGGAAGTCTACAAGTTGTGGTCAGTTGTTTCTCAATGGAGCTTTGATCATGCAGTTCGTCAAGACTCAGGGGGCACCAGCACTCTCGTCGCCCGAAGCTGAGTTCAACGCACTCGTGCATGTCGGGATTGAGGCGAGAGGAGCCCAGACTTATCTCAAGGAGCTCTTGGACGAAACTGTACCAGTGACGCTGGAGAGTGACAACTCCAGCGCTCTCACGAACGTCGAGAAGAAGGGAGTCGGCAGGATGAGGCGCATCGAGTTGAAGGATCTGTGGGTCAAGGACCTAGTCGCTCGCAAGGCTGAGACGAAGGTCAGCACGAGCAAAGTTCACACCGACGAGAACACCGCAGATCTTGGGACGACACATCTTTCGAGGGTCGATTTCATGAAGCACCTAACGGCGATGAAGGTTTGGCTCACTGGGAAAGGTGAGGTTGGTGGAATTTCAGGTTCAAGCAACGAGAAGAAGGGCCAGATCGGTAAGCCTGCGCTGGAGCTGATGGGAGCACTTACTCAATGCTTGGTGGGTCTTGGTACGTTTCTTCAATTTGGACGTGCGGACGCTACTGAGTTGGTGGAGAAGGAGTTTCAGCCAGTCGCGATCTCAAGCCCTGCAGATGATGAGAGCCATTTTGGCGTTTCCACAACGGTCGTGATGATGATGCTCTCCCTTTTGAGTGTTATCGCAACGAGTGCAGTCTTTAAAGTCAAGCAGCACATCGACCGTATCACGCAGCCAGCACAGAAATATGCCTCAACTCAGTACAGCCTGAAGGACACGATGAAGAATGGAGCTACGAGCAAGATCGTGGCCAATGATCTTCGGGCTATGTTCACAGCTATGACTATAGACAGTGGACGGGAGTTTCTACGACTACGGCGAGTGGATCGGGCCGTCTCGACATATACAAAGGCGATGGTGGTCGAAGCTTGCGTGGCGACCGCCCTCATCGAAATAAAGCAGGACAAGATCTACAGTGTTGATGGGTTTGTCGGGATTTGGCACCCTCACTCGCTGGCTATGATTCGATATTGATATGTTTCCAGAATGCGTGCCCGATCTTGGCATGAAGCTGCAGATGGGCCCGAGGAGGAGTGCAGGAAACAAGGTACATATCAGTGTTTTGAGTGAGGATTGTTGTGCATGCGCTGTTGTGACATTTGTGTACTGTGGAGAGCCAGTTTTGGCTCAGTTCATGCTGAGGTGGAAAAGGATTTCACCAGCCCTGTCGGGCAAGGTCCGTGGACCCCAGCTCCGCTACTTAAGTTATCAAGATAACATTTCAGTGCTTGCAATATATATATATATATATATATATATATATCGTCAAAAAAACCTTCTGTACTGGGACACGTCCGACTTGAGCTTGGCGCGAACAGGCCGGCAGTATTGTCGTTGGTCAGCCGGACCGCCGAGTACTGCTTCTGATCCCCCGTGCGGCCAGTGAAGGTGCCGTGCTGGCCTCCCAGGGGGCTCCGTGCCTGGCTGGCGACCGTGGCCTCGGTGCCCTTCTGGATGGGCGGAGGCGCGGATGGCGGGGCGAGGCCCGTGCTGTTCTCGCGTGTGCACTCGGCAGGCCCGTCGCTCCGAGGGCGGTAACACAAAGTGCCTCGCCAGGCCCAGGCTCAGTCCCGAGATCGGGCGACCGGGCCCCCACGCTGCCCGGCACTCTCTTCGGCAGGTCTGCCCCGACGCAGGGATCCCTTACGTCATCCGGCTCGGCAGCTCGCGTGAGGGCTGCCGTGGGAGCTCGTGACGTTGAACATGCTGCTGTCAGTGGCGTCTGCCGTGCCGTGGGTGTCGCTGAGGCCTTGCCTGGATTCGCCCTGGGCGCCACCCTGGTGGGTGTATCCGTAGTGTTTGGCGGTGGCTGCGGCGGATGAATCCAGGGTCTTCTAGTGGCGGTCATCCCCTCCGAGGCAGCCGCTGGGAAGACGACGACGGAGTCCCAAGGGGCCTCCGTCTGTGTTTTGGCCCTTGCGCATGGTTTTGGTGCTTGCTACCGGCGCGTGAAATCCCGCAATCGGCCCTCCGAAACGGCGGCGCGACGTTCCAGTTTGGTGCATCGCGGCTGATGCGGGGGGCGGTGCCGTTGCCTTGGTGGGCGTCGGCCGCGGCCGTGGACCCTGCTCAGTCACGGCTGGTCCCCGTCTTGTGCTTCTTGGAGTGACGCAGTTTGGTGTAGTCGCTCATGTTCTCCCCGCGCAGTTTCATCAGCCCGCCCCCTTACGCTTACGCTGGTCGGAGCGGTGCTGATGGTAGATGTTGTGAAGCCCGATGTGAATCTTATGAGCAAGCTCGTTGTGAGCAGCGACTGTTCGGTCGACGCCACCACTGCACTGGAGTGTGGGGGCGCGGGCTTCCTTTCGACCGAGCTTGGTATCTTGCCGATACGTTAAGGTTGCCTTTTGGCGGCCTTCGCCTGGTAGCTTGGGCTGCGGTTGTAGATGAAACGCACGGCGAGGGCTTTGGAACCATTGCGGCGCGTTCGCAGATATGTAAGAGGATGTGGCACGAATCAGTCCCATGGTGAGGGCCACAGGTCCAATCTCGCCATGCTATCTGTGGAATGCTGGGGCTCTTCGTCTCTCGGCTGCACCTTGGGTCCGCACCTTGGGTCCGAAGACCCTCGAGCCGAGACTTGAGCCAAAACGGCTACGGAGACAAAGGGAGGGAGAGAAAGAGAGAGAGAGAGAAGAGAGTGAGATATATACATATGCACACACACACATATATATATACAAAAGTATAGAGGTGTACATATGTATATGTGTATATCTATACATATATGTATGTGTATATATATATATATACATGAGAGAGCGTGATCCACCGCCGCTTTACTGTGGAAAATTCCCCCCCCCCCCCCGCCCTCTTCCTCCAGAACGAACCCGGGGGTCCCCCCCTCTGAACCCCCCCCCCCTGTTGGACCCCTTCCCCTCCCCCTTCCCCCTGGCAAAACCCCCCCTCCCCTAACCCCCCCCCTCCCCCTTCCGGAAAACCTGGGGGGTCACTACCGGTTCGAACCCCCCCCCTTCCCCCATCCGGAAAAATGGGAGGGTCACTACCGGTTCGAACCCCTCCCCACCAGAAAACCAGAGAGGGGTCACTATCGGTTCGAAGCCCCCCCCCTCGAAAACCGGGAGGGTCACTACCGGTTCGATCCCCCCCCCCTCCCTCCCTCGAAAACGGGGGGGGGTTCGAACCCCCCCTCCTTCCCTCGAAAACTGGGGGGGTCACTACTGGTTCGAAACCCTCCCCCCCCCCCACGCTCACCTCACCGCCAGCAAACGACTCCCGGGTCCCTACCACCGTCCGCACCACATCCTCCACTGCTGTCCCCAGCACCATTGTCCTCACCACCACTGTCCCCACTGTTCCCACCACCGTCCCCAATGTCCCCACCAGTGCCCCCACCACTGTCGCACTGTCCCCGCTGTCCCCACAACTGTTCCCACCACGGTTCCACTCTCCTCACTTTCTCCACGGCCCCAACTGTTGTCCCACTGTTCCCACTGTCCCACTGTCCCACTGTCCCCGCCGCTGTCCAGCTGAGCTGTCCAACTGTTCCCACCACTGTCCCCATTGTCCCGACCACTGTCCCCGCTGTACCTCTGTCCCAGTATTCCACCGCCGTCCTCGCCACCGCCCTCACCACTCCCCACCACCACTGTACCCTCCACTGTCCCATTGTTTCCACCACATTCCCCACTGTCCCCACACCACTGTCCCCACCACCACCGTCCCCACCACTGTCCCACTGTCCCCACTGTTCCCACCATTGTCCCCGCTGTCCCCACCAGTGCCCCCACGAGTGTCTCACTGTCCCCACTCTCCCCACCATTGTCCCACCACGGTCCCACTCTCCCCACTTTCCCCACGGTCCCCACCACTGTCCCACTGTCCCCACTGTACCCACCACTGTCCCACTGTCCCCGCCGCTGTCCCCCTGTGCTGTCCCACCGTCCCCTCTGTCCCCATCACTGTCCCACTGTCCCCACTGTCCCCACAACTTTCCTCACTGTACTATTGTCCCACCACTGTCCTCACCACCGCCTTCACCACTGTGCCCACCACTACCGTCCCCACCACTGTCCCACTGTCCCCACCACTGTCCCGCTGTCCCCTCACCACTATCCCCACCACTACTGTCCTCACCACTGCCCGCACCATTGTCCAACTGTCCCGAGGAGCGGGAATCGTTTGCCGGCGGCGAGGGGGGGGGGTCGAACTGGTAGTGACCCCCCCCCGTTTTCAAGGGGGGTGGGTGGGGGGGTTAACCGGTAGTGACCCCCTTCGAACCGGCAGTGACCCCCCCTTTTCATGATGGACTTGGGGAGGGGGGGGAGCTCGAACCGGTAGTGACCCCCCCCGGTTTTCGAGGGGGGGGGGGGGACGGGTTGGGAACCCGGGGGGACGGGTTGGGAACCCGCAGTGCCCCTCCCCAGTTTTCCGCCAACAGCTGTAGAACACACTCTGTCATGAGAGAGAGAGAGAGAAAGAGAGAGAGAGAGAATACTACTACTAATAATACTAATAAGAATAAGAATAATACTACTACTAATATGGATAAGAGTAATAATAACAAGAAGACGAGGACGAACACTAATAACATTAGCAATACGAATAATACTACTACTACTAATAGTAATAAGCATAATACTAATACTAATAGAAATAGTAATAATACTAAGAATATTGAGAATGATTATATTATTAATAAAAAGATATTAATAAACATATGAATAATACTAAGATTCATAATAATAATAAGAGTAATACGAATAATAATACTATTAGTAATGCTATTACTAATAATACGAATAATAAGAAGAAGGATAACGGAGGAAGGCAGAGCGGCATGGTCTGCATTGAAAACACTTCGCATCGCCGAGGCACTCGCCAAAACGGAAACACCAATTGCAGTGCAACATTTGGTCGACCACACGTAAGCGATCGGAATGACCTGTGGTGAGGGCTCATTGGTGTCCCCCCATCTCTGACTTGCGCGCTCGGATTTGCACGCCCCCCCTGGCCCCCCCTGAAGCCGCACACCCAAGGTCACTCCTTGCCTGATGCCACCCTTGCGTGTAGTCGATCTGGTGGGCAGCCCAGCAGCGTAGCAGGTGGAGCCGCCGAAGTACTCGCCTCAGCGGAAACACCGCATGCAGCACAGGCCTTCAGTCGGCAATCCAGCATTTCAGCAGGGACCCAGAATGATGAGGGGAGCGTGGCCGATGGCGAGAGGGATATGCGGGAGGGGGCGGAGCGCCCAAGAACCGGCCCACAGGCCGAGTGGGCCTCGAACCACGGGCGGTCGCAGCTGACCAAGGTGCTCGAGCTGGCCTCCCAGAATGCGGAGTGGGCTCTAGGCCAGGAGGCCGAGGTTGAGGAGAAGAGTGTTGGCGCCCGCCTTAGATGTCGTGGCGGGGAGGGGAGGGGCTGGGAGGCTCTTCCAGAGTCCCTCGTCATACAGTCGGACCGAGGTACAAGATTGAGGTCGGTTCGGGGAGGATGCCTTAGTCTTCTTCGTGCTTGTTGGATGTTCGTGTGCATCCTGGGGAGGGTACCTTTGGATGTTCTGCTTGTTTTGGCCAGTGGAGGGTCTCACTTTCTTGAGGGATGTTCTTCTGGCTCAGGTCGGAGTGTACCGTCTCTGGCGGGAAATCAGACTCATCCCAGGCAGTTTGGTTCACTAAGCCTGGAGCAGCAAGCCGGTGATGCTGTCCTGCGTCTGCCGTGCTCACATGTCTCATGCTTGTGAAACCCTTTCCTGGTGGCCTTGGGCCCCCTTTCCCGCCCCCCCACGCCCCCGGGAGCCTCCGTTGGCTCCCTTCCCAGGAGGCTCTGAGAGCCGCTCAGACGGCCCAACCGCCGTTTATGAAATGCCAAGAGCGCCTCTGGACTCCGTGTAATGGTTGGAGTCCGTTAGAACGAGTGTGCGCGGCGCTCAAGCGAGAGCCGCATTATGATAACGAGTGATAACGAGCCGCCCTCCATCTGTGTATTTGTTGGAATCTGTTTCGAGTGTGGACGGTGCTACGGCGAGGGCCACATATTGAAACAACCTGCTTCCATCCGTGTAACAATTTTGAACATGTAAGACACACGTGCGCGGATCGAAGGCGAGAGCCACATCTCAAAAAAACGACCCACCCTCCATCCGTAAAACTGCCGGAAACCTGAAGCTTTAGGGTCAACGTGGTGGGGTAGTCAGGGCCGTCCTACCGCCACGTCTGGCGGTGCGACGAGAAGGAGCGTTGAAAAGGACGAGGGAGATGAGGATAAGGAGGAGGAGGAGGAGGAGGAGGATGAAGGGCGGGGCCGGCAGGGGATTGGGAAGGGGGAGGCGAAGGCGGAGAAGGACGAGGCTGCCCCTCCCCGAGGTCCCGACGAGTGCATCGTGTTCCGGCAGCTTCGCGAGCGGAAAGGTGGAGGCGCTGTGGACAGGATATTTTTGGGGGGGCTGCCGTGGGTCTCGCGCCCCGCTGCTGCTCGAAGGAACGAACATTAAGTCGGGCATGTCCCTCTTCAGGAGGAGTGTTCAGAAAAAGTAAAAATTATATGGGGACGAGTTCTCTGCTGTTTTGATGATGTTGAAGAGCATTTTGACTAATCCAATTTTTTCTTCAAACTCCGCCTGTAGGAGGACATGTCCGACCTAGAACAAGCACCTGCGTAAACATACACTTTCGACGGTCCTCGCGGATTTGCCTGATCGGTGCTGTGGTCCCCCTTGCGGCGCCTCCGGCGCCGCCCCTGGCGCGCTTCGCGCGCCAGGGAGGGAGGTCCAGTGCCGATTCAAGAGATACGCGCGGACCTCCGACAGTTTGTGTTTATACGTTCATTTTTCTTCTAGATGCTCCTGCTCCTCCACATCGTCTTGTTGCAGAGCCTTGCGGCTGGTTCCGCCGACCCGGAAGGGAAATCCAGAAGAAGTCCCCAGGAAAGTCGCGGACTCGTAGAGGCTCGTTTGGGCCTTTTGGGAGCGTCTTGGGAGCCTAAGAGTGGGTTCTAGTGCGTTGCGGATGCTGTCTTTAGAGGAATAGCACCAAATTGCAGTTCGGGCTCCTCTCTGGGGCCTCTCTCGGAGGCCTCTTGGGAGCCTTTGGTGCCCCCTTGGGGGCTTCTTGGGCCTTCTGGGGGCTTCTTGGGTTTGTTGGGAGCCCTCTTGGGGGCTCCGTGGGTTGTTTTGAGGTGGACTTGGGGCCCTGTTGGACCGTCTTGGGCGGTCGGAGGCCCGTAAAAGCGAAAACGCGAAAATGTATGAGAAACAAACGGAACATATTCTTTGTTTTTGCATTTGGGGGATCTTTTTGGGGTCGTCTTGGAGCTCTCCTGAGGGCGTCTTAGGGATCTCTTGGACCGTCTTGACAGCATCTGTGGCTGTCTTGGAGCGCTCTTGGATTGTTCAGGCCTCTCTTGATTGTCTTGGACCTGAACTGCCAACAGAGTTCGAAATTTACTTGAAAACGGTCCGAAAAGGGATGAGATGATGGACTGTATTCTGATCCGGGACCCCCGCGGGACCCCCCCCATGACCCCCCCTTGGGACCCCCCCCTCTGGGCGGGGAAGGGATCAGAGGGAAGGGTCGACTCATTTAGGACCTCGATTGCGACCTGGCTCGATCCACCTCGTGGTGGCGAGCTTGGAATTCTATTTTTTTCGCTGGGAAGGGGGATCAGCTTCGAATGCAAGGTGCCTCCCAGGACTGCCTTGCCCAGAGCTCCCCCTCGCACACGCCGCCAGGGTCGGCGGATTTTCGCCCTCGCGCTGGTGGAATGGAGGAGCGGCGCGACCACCAGCGCTCGGAGGCGCAGTCACGATGCCGAAATGGAGGACCACTTTGGGCTCGGGATGGGCCCTGGTCTTCGGGCCGTCCTCGAGCAGTGCGCGGCACCTGCTCGTGGCCGAGGCCCGCCGTGTCCAGAAGCGCCTCCTCGCTTCCTGGCGCGAGGACTGCGCGCGCGGACTTCGTGGCTCAGCGCTGGATCCCCCTGGCGCGCTCCGCGCGCGAGGGGAAGGGGGGGTCCAGCGCCGCCGCCGTCGGCGCCGTCACCCTTCGGCGACGGCGACGTCGCCGATCCGCTCCCGACGCGCCGCCCCAGCACCACCGACGCCGACGCCGCCTCCCCTTCCTCGCGCTCTTCGCTGTCGTCGTTCGTCGTCGTCGTCGTCGTCGTCGTCGTAGTCGTCGTCGTCGTCGTCGTCGTCGTCGTCGTCGTCGTCGTCGTCGTCGTCGTCGTCGTCGTCCCCGTCCTCGTCCTCGTCGTTTGTCGTCGATGATCGTCGATTCTCGTCGATTCTCGTCGTCGTCGTCGTCGTCGTCGTCGTCGTCGTCGTCGTCGTCGTCGTCGCCCACCGTCGCCCGGCGCCCCGCCAGCATCGACGACGATGACGACTTCGGCGCCGCCCGCGGCAAGTCCGTGGCGGGGCAGGCCGCCGCGGACGGCGCCCTCTTCGCGGAGCGGCTGGCCAAGGTGCAGCAGATGACGGGCCTGGCGGACCCCGTGTGCCCTGCGCTGGGCCCCTCTGCCAGCCTTCGGGGAGCCCGAGGATCAGGAGGAGGGGGAGGGGACGAGAAGGATGGATGGAGGAGGAGGAGGATGGAGGAGGGAGAGGAGGAAGAGGAGGAGGAGGAGGAGGAGGAGGAGGAGGAGGAGGAGGAGGAGGGATGAGAAGGATGGAGGAGGAGGAGGAGGAGGGGATGAGAAGGATGGAGGAGGAGGAGGAGGAGGAGGAGGAAGGAGGAGGAGGAGGAGGAGGAGGAGGAGGAGGAGGAAGGGGAGGAGGAGATAGCCGACAGGAGGACGGAGGACGGGGAGGACGGGGAGGACGGAGGACGGAGGACGGAGGACGGACATTGAATTTACATCTAGGGCACCACGTGTTTTTTCAATTCCAGGGCACCACGTGCTTTTTTCCAGGGCACCACGTGTTTTTTTCAATTCCAGTGCTCATCCCGGGGCTCGCACTTTTTTACAAGGGAAAGTCTTGGTCCTGACATTGCGTTGTTGGCTCCTCGTTTATAACATTGGCTCTCGCCTGATACTTCCTTATGCGATTCAAAATCGCGCTCTCGCGCGGGAGTTCCTCACACTTTATGCATGCATCGCCGTCTCGCTTGGCATTTGCTCGCAATTGATTCAAATGCCACGCCCTCGACGTTCAGGAATCACGCTCTCGCTTCGGCTTTTCACACGATTTATTCAAGAGGCTCGCGCCACTCCGCCGACCCCCAGACGAGGCGTGGATTCCACGGTCGAGGCGTCGTTAGTTTCGTGGGCACTATGTGGGGATTCGTGTGGGCGTCTTGAGAGCTGTTTGAGGGCCTGGCGGAGCCTCTTGGAGGCAATTTTGAAACGTGTTGGCGGCCGCATTGGGGCCTCTTTTGGGCCTCTTTGGGGCCTTTCGGGGCTTGTTGGGGGCCTCTTTTGGGCCGCTTGGGGGCTTCTTGGGGCCTTTGGGGTGCCTCTTGGGGCGGAAAGATACGGCTTTCTGTTTGTGTTCTTGCTCCTCGCCTCTCTTGGGGCCCTCTTGGTGCAATCTTTGACCGTCTTGGGCCACTCTTTGGGCCGTCTTGGAACCTCTTGGGCCGTCCTGGGGCCCTCGTAGGGGCCTCTTGGGTAGTTCCGGGGCGGTACACGGGACATCTTGGGCCGTTTTGGAGCGTCGGAAGCTCGAGAAGACGATAACCCCAGAAACAATGAAAACCCGAGGAGAGCAATTGCTTTTGCTCGTCGGGCATCTTCGAGCCATGGTAGGCGTCTTGGGCCAGTTGCTCCGCGATTCGGGAGCGTCTGGGAACGTCTTTGAGGTCACGGAAGGCAGATTTGGACGCGCCGGAGTCTTCTGGGGTGCGCCAGGTAGCCCAGATCCCCCCTCCCTCCCCTCCCTCCCCCTCCCCCGTCCCCCCTCTTGCAGTGTAAAGTGTAAATGGAAGGGGAAAAATCGAGTGTAAAGTTTACACTCGATTCTGGGCCCTGGGGGGTGGGTGAAGGCGCAATCCTCCTACCCTGTTTACTCCGACCCCATCTAGGAGGCCTCTAAAGATGGGGAGGGGGTAGGAAAAGGTCCAGGAGGACGAGGGAGAGCGCGAGGATGGTATAACAATAGTAGTATCAATATCATTAATCATACGAAAAAGAATAATATGAAGAAATATACTATGACTCATCATAAGAAGACGAATAACGTCACAACCGCATACTGTCGGATGTCCTCGCGGATCTTTTGGATCGACGTTGGAGACCCTTGGGGGCCCTTTCGGCGCCGCCCCTGGCGCGCTCGAGGGGGTCTAGCGCCGATCCAAGAAGTCTGCGCGGACCGCCGAGTTGCTCCTCCCGGGACAGCGTGGTCCTCCTGTTCCTCGTCGTTCCTCTCCTCCCAGGGCGAGATGGCCTTCCTGATCATCCTTTTCCTCCTCGTCGTGATGCCGCCTACTGCTGTCGAAGGGGTCTTCCGAGACGAGTGGCCCTCCTCCTCCTTCTCTTCCTCTCCGTGCCGCTCTTTGGCGGGCCTCGAGGTACGTCGAGGCGTTCCTGCAGGTGCACTCGTTTGACCTCGTGCTGGAGTTGCTCATTGTTAACCGAACACAGGATCCTTGTCTTTGGGCGCGCGGACGGGGGAGGAGGAGGAGGAGGGAGGAGGGAGGAGGGAGGAGGGAGGCGGGAGGAGGGAGGAGGGAGGAAGGAGGAGGGAGGAGGGAGGATGGAGGAGGGAGGAGGGAGGAGGGAGGAGGGAGGAAGAGTAGGAGGAGGAGGAGGAGGAGGAGGAGGAGGGAGGAGGAGGAGGAGGAGGAGGAGGAAGAGAAGGAGGAGGAGGAGGGATGATGGTGGTGGTGGCGGTGATGGTTATAATGCTGATGATTGAGATGCTGATGATAATGATGATGATGCTGCTGCTGATGATGTTGATGATGATGATGATGGTGATGGCGATGCTGATTACGATGATGATAATGGTGAGGATAATGATGATGATGCTGATGATGATGATGCTGATGCTCATGATGATGCCGATGATGATCCTGATGGTGCTGAGGATGATGATGTTGGTGGTGGTGGTGGTTCTGGTGATAGTAATGGTATGGTGATGGTGGTGGTGGTGCTGGTGATGGTGATGATTACGGCGACCAGGAGGGTGAGGCGGAGACACATTGTTGATGTTGATCGTGGTGGCGGTAGTGGTGGTGATGATAATGCCGACGACGATGACGATACGGTCGCGATCATGGTTTTGGCGATTTGGGGTGGCGATGTTGTGGTGGTGGTGGTGGTGATTGTGGTCGTTGTTGTTGCTGTTGCCGCTGTTGCTACTGTTGTTACTGTTGTTGTTGCTGCTGTTGTTGTAGTCGGTGTGGTTGCTGTTGTTTATGCTGCTGTTGTTGGTGGTGATGTTCTTGTTGGTGATGCTGATGGCGATGATGCTGCTGATGCTGTTGGTGATGGTGATACTGATTGTGGTGGAGATGATGCATCCTGTGCTGATGATGGTGATGTGGATGATGATGACGATGATGCCGATTATACTGATACTGATGCTGATGATGTTGCTGATGATGCTGATGCTGATGCTGATGATGCCGATGCTGATTATGACTACGATGAGGATGCTGATGATGATGCTGTCGATGATGATGATGCTGTTGCGGTTGCCGATGATGCTGATGATGATGCTGATGATGCTGATGATGACGATGATGCTGATGATGATGTTGTTGATGTTGATGGTTATGATGATGATGCGGATGCGGATGCGGATGCTGGTCATGGGGATGATGGCGAGGATGGGGACGAGGATGAGGATGAGGATGATTCTGATGTTGCTGATGATGCTGATGATGCTGATGCTGATACCGATGCTGATGCTGATGCTGACGTTGGTGCTGATGCTGATGCTGGTGCTGATGATGGTACTGCGTATGGCGCGGATGCATCTGACGATGACGAGACAAGGAATGCCACTAATCACACTGACGGTGCTGATACTGATTGTGGTCGCGGTGACATTCATGATTATTCGGATCGTGATGACGACAGTGATGATCCCCATGACGATGTGGGGGCGCAGGAGGGGGAGGAGGGGGAGGAGGAGGAGGAGGAGGAGGAGGAGGAGGAGGAGGAGGGAGAGGAAGAGACGGAGGAGGCGGGAGGAGGAGGAGGAGGAGGAGGAGGAGGAGGAGGAGGAGGAGGATTGACTGACTGATTGACTCGCTGCATCCGGCTAGGTCCCATGATTGTCACAGCTGAGTGGGACGTCGTAGGGCGCATACAAGCACTATGCTGGCATCGTTGTCAAACTGGCAGACGAGGGAGCCCCTTCCCGTTTGACTAGGGGACGCCTCAAACGCGTAACGGCACTCACCTACGCGTAGATTAACAAACATCGAGAGCAAACTCTCAAGTGTGGTGTGGGAAATAAGGGGGCGAGGGACGGAAGAACAGAAGCAGCGGAGCAGAGGGGAAGAGGAGAGACCGAGCAGCCCACACCCATTCAATATCAGAGGTCGAGCGAGCATTCATCTGACAGCTGCAGCGCGGCTCCGCCCACGACCCCGACCCTTTTCTTTTCCCTCGACGGACTTCAGTGTCGGAGCTGCGATTCGGGTCCATTCGCCCCTGAATTGGATCTCATCCTTCTCGAGCTCAGACCCGCAGGGGAGGGCGGGAGAAGGAGCAGACATGCACTTCTTTCTGTGGCAGGCTCACTTGAGCATTTTCTGGAGGGGGTTCTGAACCCAGCACGCTGGACTGGTCTTGGGGGGTGAGCCCATCTTCGTAACGCTCCCAAGACCGAGGAGGAGAGATGCGATCATTGCATTCATCGGGGGTAGGAGCTCATTGGACCCGCTCGGGGATCCTTCTTTGGTGTGGGCCGTCTTGACCCTCCAATACCTGAACGACTCGGCTGCTACTATTTGAGGCGGCTTCTGACACCAATATAGGAGGGAAGTCAGGTGGCCTACCTCCTCCTTCAGCTGCGCATTCGGAGTCACGATCGGGTGGGTGACCATCGCCCTGCTCGGGGGGCCGTGCTCGTGTTCGGGCATGTCTTTCACCAGCTCTAGATAGTTTGCGGTTGCCACGGCGCACACATTCACCGTGGGTTCCTTCGGTACGAGATGAGTGGTCAAGACAGCTCCCTCTAGGCCCCGAACTCGTTGATTGCAGCTCAGATATCCTTTCACGACCTCCTGAGCCGTCTATGCCTCCGAATCCTCCTCGTCGGCCGTCGCCGCTGCCGCTGCTGTACCTGAGCTCTGCCCTCTCTGCTGATCGTCTCGCGGCTTCGTTAGCGGCCCTCCGAGCCCGCCACCTGTCCAGGCGAGTGTGGGTGAGGCCGATACCAATCTCTTCTGGGCTTCCTCCAAGTCCGTCGCTGAGACGTCCATCGCCCGCTGAGCCATCTTTCGCCAATGACAGTACAGCGTCGGATAGTCCCACGTTTGTTCGTATGTGGACTTGGAGCTCAGCGAGGGTCGTGTGATCTTTACTGCAAGCTGGGCAAACATCTTAGTACGGATCAACAGCATCATGATGAATGAGACTGCGAAAACAATGGCATACTTTATCCAGGAATCGACGTCGGCCATGTTGGCACGACATAGCATGCGTAGAATGCGTAGACATACACCACGGGCACTGACTAGTAACTGTTAATATCTGTACTAACGCTCTCTCACCATGGTTACCTTCACGACAAAACAGCATACGAGCATACCACCCCTGTTGGACCTTGCACTCAAGGCCGCCCCGTCATTGAGGAGTTCAATCTCTTATGGTCGGCTCTGCTTCGTCTGTCATACGGCCAAAATGGGCGGCAAGCAATTGGCGGTTCTCCTCAGGATGGCTTGCGAGTGGTTGAAGCCAGTTGAGGCGCCTCACCCGTAGCTCGAGCTGTGAAGGGATGAGACCACGACGCGTCCAATCTTCTTGCGTCGGGCGTGAGACATGCTTAATATTCCCGTCAGGATTGGGAAACTTCAATACCGCATTCCCCTCCAGCCCTTCCCCACTGCAGTAGAAGCCCGTCGATCAACTTAAACTCATTGTGGATGGGAATGAAGGACTCGAGGCCGCTCAGCCCCGCAGCCTGAACACGTGCTTGAACAGCAAGGAGCTGAATCCTCCGAGGGGCCTGATTGACAAACCAGAATCTGCCCATGGAATACCAAACCCTGCGCATGTTTTTCTGGATGTATTGGCGTTGCTGTGCTGTCGCACCATTGCCATGAAACTGAGCCCCGCGATACGTTGCATGAGCTGCCACCTTGCCTGTCACACGAGACCCAGGATGCGAAGACTGCCGAGATTGCTGCACCGCATTGCCACCTACAAACTTGGGAACAGTAACCTGCTTCTTCATGTTCAGCGCTCCCCCTGCCAACTGAAGATGTCCAGAAATACTTACAGTAGCCTTCTCAACACTGCGTGCAAGCTGTGCGGCACTGCAACCAGTGACCTTATGTGCTGTATCATCCATGAACACTGGTGGAGAGATCACTATCGAGAGTCTCAATCTGGTTGAGAGGGCTGGAGCACGTGAGGTCACTGCCACCGGAACTGCGCCTACGCTCAGCAAGCTGAGGCACGAGACTTTCACGATCGAAGCCTCTGACATATTTGATGGGGGCAGACTGGTGACCCTGTAGCACACCCTGCCCTACTGAAAAGTGTCCTCGAACGTCAGAGCAGTCGAGCGTAACGTCACAATACTGCGAAAATTACAATGTTGACCAAGCAAGAATCATCTGGATTCATGTGAATCATGTCCGTGTCGTCATGGACCTGGGTGTCCAAGCTGCCGAACGCGTTGGACTGGTCGTAAAAGATGGTGCACTGTGTCTTCTTGAGCCTGGTCAAGCGCCACGAGGTGATGAGCTGGATCTTGATGGCGCTCTCACGTCGCCGATGGTGGAGACCACCATGTAGATAGTCCGCGAATCCACGCTCGGGGTAGCACTCGTCGCCTCGCAGCCCAAGATGTTTGCAGTAGGCTTGGCTGAAGGGGCACATGCGGTGCACGAGCCTGATGGCCTTCAGCCCTGTGGCCGTCGTGGCCTTCGGGAGGTAGCAGCCCGAAGACCTATGCCAATCAAGGGGATTCCGAGCGCTTCCACGAATGTCCCACAAGATTCCACGAGCTCTGCGAAAAAGCCATCTCATGTCAGGGATGCCTGCTTCAAACTGGTCCTGCTCCTGTTCGATGAGTTTCCTGAAATTTCGATGCCTCTGTCGAATTTGCATTCGACCAACTTCCAGAGGTAGACTCCATGGTGGAACACGCTTCCGATACTGCATTTTGAGAAGGGCTTGCGCGCACCACGAAGATCATTATCAACTTCATCTTTGAAGCCTGGGGCGTAGAATCTGTAGCCTGTGCCTGCATCATGTCCATGCTCGGGCAGGGTTGCGATATCGACTTCACTGGCTCGCTGGCCCCCATCCCTGTCCAAGAAATGTACCCCACATGGCAATCGTCGGGCGCGCACTCACAGGGTGGTTATAACATCTGCTCCCAGGGCCGACTGTAGTACACGCAGGTCTCCGACATAATCTGTGCACACGGGACCACTTGCTCTCCTTCCAAGCCTCATGGGTCGGAGCCGCCAACGACTCCATACGATGACGAGGGTGTTGGTTTCGTTGATGTTTGATCTGTTGCGTAACTGCATGTAGACGCTGCTGGATACTCGTAAGTTCACGATCGGCTTCACTGTGAGCTAAGAGGGGGGCCTCCGACGTGAGCCGAGTGAGTTTCTCGCGTAACGCAAACAGCTGTCGAAGGAGTTCTCGTTGTTCTGCACGCTGGGCTTCGATATTCGTATCTGCTACAGTGTGACGTGCGCAATACGATAGTGTAACCTTCCTGATATCTCCAATGAACGCTTCCCATGCTCGATCAGGCGCTGCTTGGGCTTCAAGCCTAGACCATCCACGGAACCGCTGGAAACATAGCTGCTCAACCCTCTCCAGGAGCCGTGGCCTCCAGAGTCCCTCCGCAACTCCTTGAACTGACCCATCGGGGTCCCAGAGTTCTTCTTTGGGGGTCCTCTTGTGTTCGGGAAGCTGAGAATATGCTTGACCGAGACCTGCAAGGGCCAATGATCCCAACGACGGACAGTCGGGACCATCTGGATTTACCTTCTAAGCCTTTCAAGCAATCGACATTCCTGGACCGATGCAAGCCAACTCCGCGGAGCCCCCAAATAATCGACCCTTGATCTCGAAGCCGTACCATAGTATGTAGCATGTCCCCCAAGGAACGTTTTCGCAAGGCACATGTTGAACTGCTCAAGGAATCCTCGGATCTTTTATACACTAGTGCTTGGGCTTGGGGTACAAATCTCCGATACTGTCGAACTCACCTGGGAAATACTCAGCTGCTGGAATACTTGCTGTGTCATTCGAATCTCCTCCGAATGCGATGGAGCAATGCGCAGGCTGATCGGCTGCAACAAGGATTATCCATTGCATAAGCTCGTCCACTGTCTTCTGGTGCGTCAGACGCCGCCTCGCAAGGGTCGGCCGCGGCGGCAAGTACAGAGCGAAGCAGAGAATATGTAATCTCCCAGACTTCAAGACCACGTCGCCGCATCTGCCCTGCAAGCGTTCTTGGGGGTAGAACACAGCCGCAACATGTGCCAATCGGAACATATCGCGCCTCAAATGAATCTAGACAGCAGAGTGCGCATTCGTGAGCTGAGAGCGGCCGTAACCCCAAGAGAGGATGTGCAACTTCGGGTGCGAAATCGAGACGCACGTGTTATCAGTCGCCTTCTAGCGGAGCCGAGTGCCAACGAGAAATTGGGTATCCTTGGAAATGCACGCTTCCGAAATCTCTTCATGTCTGCCAGGCTGGCCGAGGGAACACACGTTGTGGACAATGAGATTCAGACTTCGATGCTCCATGAACCAGTACCACACACAACTGGCCGTGCAGGGGGCCCCCTCAAGTATAGTGTGAGCATCATTGCGCAAAAGGGAAGTATGTAGAGAGACTGGGGTGGGGCGCGGAAAGAAGGGGAAAAGGAAGCATTTGGCGCCTAGAGGAGGAGGAGGTGGAGGAGGTGGAGAAGGAAGTTGTTCAGGATGTTGAGGTTTACGGCTGATGCCAGTCTGGCTGATGTTTTCGAGATGGTGGCCGTCGGCGCCCTATGGCCCGCCACTCGGCGCGCTCCCCAGGCCCCCGTCGGGTCCGAGGAGCGTCGTTGCCGGCGGTGCGGAGGAGAGAAGGATGATTTTTTTCACCAGATGTGGGGTTATCCCTGCAACCCCTCTCTCGCTCCGGAGGACCTCTCCCTTGCTCAAAAAGCTAGTGAAAAGCACGCAGAGTTTCTTTGCCTTGGCTCCGCGGTTTAGTTCCCGTCCTGTGGGTCCACGAAGTTGTCGATTCGTGGCTAGACGGTGAGGCCCACTTTGGGGGGGTTTTTGAAGCGGGGGGGCGTGTGCGCCTAGGCGCCGACGATAAGGTCGGGTCAGATGGGAGCGGGGGAGACTGCACTGACGATAAGTTCCTCCGTCGATGCGGATGGGCTTGCGCTATTGTCCAGGGATGCCGTGCTGTGTATAGGCAGAGCTGGCGACACCCTCCCAGGTCGAATCCAGACGGTTCCCGTAGCAGAGTTGGTAGGTATGTTAGCAGCTCTGCAGCGCACAAGTAGTGAATGTCACTCGGTGCTCGACTGCCAGAGTGTGATTGCTGCGATCCACCAAGGACCCTAACTGAGGCATTATACAAATTCGGCAGCGTGGTTCGAATCCTGGGAGGCCGATCAAGGCCATCCCGTGCCGTGCCACTTTAAGGATGTAAAGTCCCACCTCGAGGAAGGGCATGCTGGGGTCCACGTTGCCCTTGATGACTTCACCGCTCACCGGGTGCGGATGAGTGTGCCGGGGAAGGAACGTGCAGCGATGTCATGCAGCAAACCGTAAAGTATCCATAATGCAGCCGTCCGCGTGCAGAGGCGATCTACAAAAGTCGCTCTGCAAGTGGCCATCCAACCCCCCTGTATTCGCTTCTCAAGCTGCTCGCGTGGCCCGCAGTCGAGTTTCTGGGGCTCAGCGTTGTTCGAATGTTGGGCAAGCTCTGCAGGAGATCACGAACAGCGTTATCGAGAGCGGGGGTATCAATTTTGTACTGTCTGCCGAGGGCGCCCAACCGAGGAGTGTGGGACGCTGAACTGGCTTGTCTCGCATTGCCCAGGGATGCCGCGCCAGATCCATTCGAGTCGTGAGTTGTCCTGTACTCGTGAACTCTGGTGGTGTCGCAAGTGCAGGGCTCACGTGAGTGCGAAGATGAGCTCAGGATTGCAAGGCACCTGCCACCACCCCACAGCCTGGGGTAAGAAGGTGCTCTGTCTAAACTCATGTGGACGCTGCCTTTCCCAGGTCTGAAGGCCCTGCCAGACGTTCGGCAAGGGGCTGGGAGCAGCGGAAGATGAGCAGCCGCAGCCACACGCGCACACCGCCACTCTTCTCTCCTCTCGACTCCTGCCCGCGGGTGTCCGAGGTTGGTCGGCCTCCCTCTGTGATAGGACGCAGCCTCTGGGAGGATAAACAGCCAACCTCAGCATCGGCGCTGGCTGGGAGCAGAAGAGTAGTTCTTCGCGTGTGCTGTCTCTCCGTGTCATGACCGCATTTTGGGACTTCAGTGTGCGCCGGAAGGAGGCAACGGAGGGGAAAGAGGAGGAGAAGGAGGAGGAAGCATGTGGTAGGGAGGAGGAAGAGGAGAGGAAGGAGCAGGGGAGGGAGGGAGGGAGGGAGCGATCCTCGTGCTCCTCAGCCCCCCTCCCTCCCTCCTCCCTTCACCCCTCTCCCCATCTACCCCTCCTCCCCCTTCCCCCTGCACCCCTCCCCTTGCTTCTCCGACGACGCACGACGACTCCGACGACGACGATGCCTGCGGCCACGACGACATGGCCTGGCGCAATGGGGGTCGTGGGAAAACTGACTAGCCACGCCACCAGGACACGCTCCAGAATGTCGCGGTGGAGCTCAGCACCCAGGGCGACCTGAAGCTGGTCGACCGGCCACCGGCGGTGCGCCTCCTCCACCCCCCGGCCGACGACTTCGATGGTGATGACGGCGGTGACGCTGATGATAGTGATGGCGATGATGAGGGCGAGGGTGATGGTGAGAGCGATGGTTGCGATGAAGATGGTGATGGCGGGCGATGGGCGACGACGACGATGATGATGACGAGCGTGATGGTGATGATGATGATGATGATGATGATGATGATGATGATGATGATGATGATGATGATGATTATGATGATTGTGCTGCTGATGATGACGACGATGATGATGACGATGATGATGCTGATGCTCATGATGATGCTGATTATGATGATGCTGCTGATGATGATGATTATGATGACTATGATGATGATATTGATGCTGGTGATGCTGACGAATATAGTGATGTCGAAGATAACGATGCTGATGATTAAGCTCGTGCTGATGATATGATGCTGCCGATGCTGATTGCGATGCTCATGATGATGCTGGTGCTGTTGTTTAAGATGATTACGATGATGCTGATGCTGATGATAACGATGATGACGATGACGATGACGATGACGATGATGATGATGATGATGATGATGATGATGATGATGGTGATGATGATGATGATAATAATGATGATGAAGATGATGCTGATAATGATTCTGCTGATGATGATGATGATGACGATGATGATGCTGATGATGATGCTGATGCTGATGCTTATGATGATGCTGCTGACGATATGCTGATTATGACGATGATGCTGATGACGAGGATGACGATGATGGTATTGATGCTGGTGATGATGATGATTATGACGGCGAAGATAACGATGACGATGACGGTGATGATGACGGTGATGATGACGCTGATTTTGATGACGATGATGATTCGGATGTTGATGCTGATGCGGATGCTGATGCGGATGCTGATGATGCTGCTGCTGATGATTACGACGATGATGCTGCTGCAACTGATGCTGATGCTGCTGCTGCTAATGATGACTGCTGCTGCTAATGATGATGCTGCTGATGACGATGATGATACTCATGCTGATGCTGATGCTGATGCTGCTGATGCTGATGCCGGTGCTGATTGCGATGCTGATGATGCTGGTGTTGTTGCTTAAGATGATGTTGATGATGATGACGATGATGATGATGACGATGCCGATGATGATGACGATGATGATGATGATGATGATGATGGAGATGCTGATGCTGATGATTATGCTGCTGAGGATGATGACGATGATGATGCTGATGATGATGATGCTGATGCTGATGCTTATGATGATGCTGCTGACGAAATGCTGATTATGACGATGATGATGATGATGACGATGATGGTATTGATGCTGGTCGTGATGATGATGATGATGGCGAAGATAACGATGACGATGATGGTGATGATGACGGTGATGATGACGCTGATGCTGATGCTGATGACGGTGATGATTATGATGATGATGCTTATGCTGATGACGATGACGACGATGATGCTGCTGCTGGTGCTGATGATGTTGCTGCTAAAGATGCTGCCGCTGATGATGATGATGACGATGATGATAATGCTGATGCTGACGATGATGATGCTGATTATGATGCTGATGTTGATGCTGATTATGCCGATGATCATGATGATGCTCATGGCGATGAGGATTATGATGCTGCTGATGATGAGGATGCTGATGATGACGCTGACGATGACGTTGGCGATGAGGATGATGATGCTGATGCTGATGCTGCTGCTGCTGCTTCTAATCATGATGCTGCTGCTGATGATGATGCTGATTATGATGATGATGCTGCTGATGATGATGATGCTGATGACTATGATGATGATATTGATGCTGGTGATGCTGACGAATCTAATGATGTCGAAGATAACGATGCCGATGTTAAAGCTGGCGCTGATGATATGATGCTGCCGATGCTGATTGCGATGCTGATGATGATGCTGGTGCAGTTGCTTGAGATGATTATGATGCTGATGATTATGCTGATGATGATGATGACGATGATGCTGATGATTATGCTGCTGATGATGACGATGAGGATGCTGATGATGATGATGCTGATGCTGATGCTTATGATGATGCGGCTGACGATATGCTGATTATGACGATGCTGATGCTGATGATGATGACGACTATGATACTGATGCGGGTGATGATGATGACGATGATTATGATGATGGCGAAGATAACGATGACGATGACGGTGATGATGACGGTGATGATGACGCTGATGTTGATGACGATGATGATTCGGATGTTGCTGCTGCTGCTGATGCAGATGATGCTTATGCTGCTGCTTATGATGATTACGACGATGCTGCTGCTGCTGATGCTGATGCTGCTGCTGCTAACAATGACACTGCTGCTGCTAATGATGATGCTGCTGATGACGATGATGATACTCATGCTTATGCTGATGCTGATGCTGATGATGCTCATGCCGATGCTGATTGCGATGCTGATGATGATGCTGGTGCTGTTGCTTAAGATGATTATGATGATGCTGATGCTGATGATGATGACGATGATGACGATGACGATGACGATGATGATGAAGATGCTGATGCTGATGATTATGCTGCTGATGCTGACGATGCTGATGCTGATGATGGTGATGATGATGAAGACGCTGACGATAATGATGATGATGCTGATGTTGATGCTGATGCTGATGATGATAATGATGGTGCTGATGCTGATGATGATGCTGATGATGATGCTGATGATGTTGATGTCGAAGATAACGATGACGATGACGGTAATGATGTCGGTGATGATGCCGCTGATGCTGATGCTGATGACGGTGATGATTATGATGATGATGCTTATGCTGCTGCTGGTTATGATGCTGCTTCTGATGGCGATGACGACGATGATGCTGCTGCTGCTGATGCTGATGATGCTGCTGCTAAAAATGATGCTGCTGCTGATGCTGATGATGCTGATGATTATGATGATGCTCATGATTATGAGGATTATGATGCTGATGATGATGACGATGAAGACGCTGACGATGACGATGACGATGATGATGATGATGATGATGCTGATGCTGATGCTGATGCTGCTGCTGCTTCTTCTAATGATGGTGATGCTGTTGATGATGATGCTGATGATGATGATGATTATGATGATGTTGATGATTATTCTTATTTGCAACTTGAACCCTGATTGTGATGGTGGTGGTGGTGGCGACGAGGATGATACAGATGATGAAGCTTATGCTGTTGATGCTGATGAGGTTGAAGTCCCATTTCTAAAGACAGCTATTGATATTCCCCCCTCCAGTGCCCCTTCTGTGTTTTTCAATTGAAGGGCCCCTCCCGGGGCTCGCACACTGATTTTGAGTAGGGAACGTCTTGAGGCTTAGACTGCGCCCCTGGCCCCCGAAGGACAACAACCTCGGCTCCCGCTTGATACTTTCTCGCAATTCATCCAACATCGCGCCCTCGCGCGGGACTTCCTCACACTTTATGATGGAATCGCGCTCTAGTCTTCCTTATCCATGTATTGAGACGCCGCCCCCTCGGCACGCAGGAATCACGTTCTCATTTTTTTTGGTTCTTACGATTTCCTGGTGAATCGCGCTATCGCTCGAGTCTTTCGCGCGATCCATACACGACTGATGCTTCAGCGACTCGCCCGCTCGACCCCGCCGTCTAGGCCTGCCCGCCCGACCCGTCCGTTAGGGTCCGCGCGCCCGACCCGCCCGTCTGGTTCTGCCGCTTGTTTCCCTGCTCCTGACCCCCCTCCTGCTAATCTCTCTCATGCTCCATCGTTTTCCCTTCCATTGTCACTTCGCTCCTCCCTTGCTTCGTCTGTTTTAGGGGCTGCGCCAACTAACTGCGGCAGGTAAGGAGGATTCTCCCCCAAGGGGGGTACGATCGAAGACTAAGAGGGCGTTCATCGAGGGTTTGGGTTACACAGGTTGAATTCACGCGAGCAGATTGGAGCGCACAGTTTTAACTTGAATGATGTTGCTGCTGTTGTTGTTTAGAATGGCGACGTTACTTCTGAAGTATCGTCTTGGGTGATTTTCTCCCTCCAGTGCCTATTGGGTGTTTGTCAATTGACGTGCCCTCACGGGGCTCGCACCTGGTCCTTAGATTGGGCTGCTGGTCCTCAAACTACAACAGAAATTCTAGACGCTTCGCATAACCCCACCAGCCCATCCAGAAACTATGCCCACAGGAATTGCCTCGATCAGGGAAGTGGGCAGCACAGAGGAAGGGTCCCCCGGTGGAGGCCTCTTGGAGCGTCTTGGGTGCCTCGGAGAGCTTCTTGGGGCCTCTTGGGGGTCTCTTGGGAGCATCTTGGAGGCCTCATGGGCGCCCGTCGGGGCCTCCTGGGCGCCTCTTGGGGCCCTCTTGAAGCGCTCTTGGGAGCCTTGGGAGCGTTCTGGATGGGCCATCTTGGTGGACATCGATCAAACAAGAAGCGAGCATTAGTTAGCGTTGCCCCTCGGGAGCCCCAACAATCACCTCTTGGGGCGCTCTTGGGGTGCTCTTGGAGCGCTCTTAGGCGCTCTTGGGGCCGTCTTGGGGCTCTCTTGAGCCTCTCTTGGAGCCCTCTTGGTCCATCTTGGAGCCATCTTGAGGCCTCGGATGGACATCGGAATCGAAAAGGCGAGAAAGCCAAACTCATAGATTGTCCTACGGTTTTGGCCTCTTCGGGGCCTCCTGGGGGATCTCTTTGGCCACTTGGAGCCGTCTTGGAGCGGTCTTGGGGCATCTTGGAGCATTGTGGGAGCCATTATGAGACATCTTGGGGTATCTTGAGCCATCTTGGAGGTCATCTTGGGCTCTCCCAGGCGCTCTTTGAGTCATCTTAATCAGTGCCCCCCCCCCAAGCGGCCAACATGTGGCTAAAACCTGAGTGAAATCAATGATTTGGCATCCTCGCGGAGGCCTCTTGGAGCATCTTGGGTGCCTCTGGGGGGTCTCTTGGGCCTTCTTGGGGGTCTCTTGGGAGCATCTTGGGGGCATCCTGGGGGCCTCTTGGGGCTTCCTGGCCACCTCTAGGGGCCCTCTTGGGGCACCCTTGGGAGCCTTGGGGGCCATCTTTGGGTCATCTTTGGGTGAGATCGATCACAGGAGGGGGGGGCCCTAATTAGGGTCCCCCATTAATTAGGAAAACCAGTGATTTTGGCTTCCTCGCCGAGGCCGTTTTAGACGCCCCGACGACTCGCGAACCCCCTGTCCAGGTCCATGGGGAGGGGGTAGGGGGAGGGGTAAACCCCTCCCCGAAGGGGAAGAAGGAGGGGTGGAAGAGGAAACGCCCTAAACCACCGACGCCCAGAGGACTGGTGGAATTCACACTTTACTCAGAATCGTGCCCTCGCGCGGGAGTTCATCACAGTTTTCTTTGGAATCGCGCTCTCGCTCAGGACTTCCTTGCAATTTCCTCAGGCGCCGCGCCCTCGACTTTAGGAGTCGTGCTCTCGCACGAGACATCCTCACAATTAACTCAGGACTCGTGCTCTCCCGCCGACCCGGCCGTTAGGGCCCGCCTGCCCGACCACTTAGTTAGAGTTCACCCGCCCGACCCGCCCGTTCGGGTCCGTCCGTTCGCCTGCTTGAAGTCCGCCCGCCCGCGTCAGTGTCCCGCCTGGCCCGGTCGCTAGGGTTCGCCCGCCCGACCCGCCCGTTAGGGCTCCGTCCGCCCGACCTGCCCGTCGGGGTCCAGCCGTGCGCGTGCTGGGAAGCCCTCACGCCCGCTTTGATGCCCTGCCCGCCCGACCCGCCTGTTAGGGTTCGCCTGCCCGACCCGCCAGTTAGGGCCAGTCTGCCCGACCCGGCCGTGAGGGCCCGCTTGCTTAGATTATGGTTCTTCTCTCCTCCCCGATCCTGGTAAATCTCCTTCGCCTTGAATAGTCCTCTCCCTCTTGCCCCTTTTCCTTCCTCGTTTCCTCCTCCTTTCTTCATTCTCTCCCTTTTCCTTTTCCCTCTTCCTCCTCCTTCTACTTCAGAAGCCGCTCCAACTACTAGTGCCAGGCAAGGGAGGTATACCCCAAAGGTGGTGCGGCCGAAGAAGAAGAAGAAGAAGAAGCGGGCGAGCATCGAGGGTTTGGGGTATACATGTCGAATGGCACGCGAACGACGAAAAGCCAGCAGTCTTAAACTGTGTTTAGTTGAAGTTGTTGTTGATGGTGGCTATGATGCGGATACTGCTGCTGCTGATGACATTGCAGCTGGTGATGATGATACTGATGATGAGGCTGAGGATGACGAGGACTAAGATGACGGTAATGATGCTGATGCTGATGCTGAAACTGATTATGATTATGATGGTGATGATGTCGATGGTATTGGTGATGCTAATCATGATGATGATGGCGATGGTATATATTTATGGTGTTTCTGCTGTTGTTAGCGATGGTTATCGTCGTGATGATGACGATGCTGATGCTGATGTTGATGTTGAATTTGATGATGATGATGCTGATGCTGCTGACGATGATGCTGAATATGATGATGATGGCGCTGATGGCGATGATGACCATGATGATGCTGATGGTGCTGATGATGATGAGGATGATGCTGGTGATGATGATGACTAGTTATAACATTATGATTGTTAATACTTGTGTAATCTTTATTGATGGTGACTGCTGCTGCTGCTGATGACGATACTGATGATGATGATGGTGATCATGATTATGATTCCGATTCTGATCATGATGCTGATGCTGATGTTGCTGATGATGTTGACGATGATGATGGTGATGATGATGATGTCTGCTGATGGTGATGATGAGCAGGATGATGCTGATGCTCATGCTGGTGGTGATGATGATGATGTCTGCTGCTGCTGCCGATGATGGTGATGGTAATGATGATGATGTCTCCTGCTGATGATGATGATACTTATGCCGATTATGATGATCATGCTGATGATGATTCTGATCATGCTGATGGTGATGATGATGATTCAGCTGATGATGATGATTCGGATTCTGCTTATGTTATTAATGATGAAGCTGATAATGAGTATGATGATTATGATGATGCTGATGATGCTGATGGGGATGACGATAAGGATGATCATGAGGCTGATGCTGGTGATGATGATGATTATGATGTCTGCTGCTGCTGATGTGAAGATGATGATGATGCTGACGATGATGATGGTGTTGCTGATGATGAGCATGATCATGATTATGATTCTGATTTTGATGCTGGTGTCAAGTATGATGATGATTATCAGGATGAGGATGATGCTGATACTGATGCTTGTGATGATGCTGCTGCTGATGATGTCTGCTGCTGCTGATGATGATGCTGATGTGAAGATGGTGATGATGATGGTGATGGTGGTGGTGATGATGATGCCTGCTGCTGCTGATGATGCTGTTGTGAAGAGGATCATGATGGTGATTATGATTATGATCATGATGTCGATGCTGATGATAAGTATGATGATGCTGATGATGAGGATGAGGATGAGGATGAGGATGATGATGATGATGAGGCTGATGCTGATGCTGATGATGATGATGATGATGCCTGCTGCTGCTGCTGGTGGTGGTGGTGGTGATGATGATGGTTCTGATGTGAAGAGGATGCTGCTGCTGATGATGATAATTCTGATTATGCAGGTGATGCTGATGGTAATTTTGATGATGGTGATGATGCTGATTGTGATTGTGATGATGGTGAGGATGATGATGAGGATAATGCTGATGCTGATGCTGATGCTGGTACTGATGATGATGATGATGGTGGTGGTGGTGGTGATGATTGATGGTGATGATGATGGTGAGGGTGATGATGATGTCGATGATGATGCTGGTGATTTTGATGATGAGGATGATGCTGATGCTGCTGCTGATGATGATGATGATGGTGATGATGACCATGATTATGCTGATGAGGGTGATGCTGATGCTGCTGCTGCTGCTGCTGATGATGATGATGATGATGATGATGACGACGACTACGATGACGACGACGATGACGATGACGACGATGACGGTGCTACGTGTAAATAATATCTTGCTGTTGCATAGGGCGGCCGTAGCGCGAGCGCACCATGGCCGGCGGCCGGCTGCCACCCCCACCATTCGGTATGCTCTACCAGAGGGCGGCCTTCCCGCGCCCTGCAGCCCTCAGGCCGGGCGCACTGCCTCGGGCGGGCCCGAGGCCAGGGTCGGCGGCTGGGCGGCCGCCGCCCGCCGCCCCCGCCGGCGAGCCACGGCTTCCAGAAGCAACGCTCAGGGGCAGCGCTCGGGGGGAAAGACTCGGGCTCGAGGCTCGAGGCTTTCGGTCGCAGGCGGTTCCTCTCTCCCAGCGTGAGACTTTGTTGCATATTTGTCGGCGCCGAGGCGCCACCGCCCCGCCCCTCGCAGGGCCGTCCCGTGTGACGTGGGGGCGCAGAGTCAGTGTCAGTGTCAGCCCACGAGTTCCGCCTGAAAAGTTTGGCCGTTCAGAATATGGGGGAAACCGCGGGAAATACCCCCAGGGGGCCATTCGGACGCGCTCCTATCGAGGATGGACACCCCCCCCATCGCACATCCTAGATTTGGGCCCCACATTTCTGGTCCAGTCGAAAACCTCCCAAAGCCTGGGATAGGGGTCGGCGTGTCCCCCTGTTATTCAGGTGCACTCATAGGTCATCGGCGATTTTCCAGCCTCGGGGTGCCTTCCAGCAGCTTCGCCTCGCCGATGGCGCTCTGGGGGGGCCCCGATCGTCCCGAGCGGCTGCCGGGGAGCCGAGCTCTGGCCCAGACACCAGGGGGCAACGACATGGGGGGTAACGGCACAGGGGCGGATTCATCGACCCCCGATCGCCCATTCGTCGCAGACAGGGAACCGACAGGCCCGCCCCGACCAGGGCGGTGCGGCGTGGCTCTCGGGGGCCCATCGCCACACATTGGGTGACGCGTCGCCGGGGTCCGGGTCGATGTTTCCCTCCCAGAGCCGCTGCCCCCCTGACGCTGCCCCCCAAACGTCGTGGGAACTCCACCCCCGGCGGGGCTGAAGCTGATGCTGAACTGGCCGACGGGGAGGCGCCCCGCACCGCAGCCGCGGCGTGGCTGCAGCGGCCAATGGGGCTGCCGAGGTGCCTGCACCGTGCGTGGTTGCGGCCGCATCGGCCAGCGGGGTGGCGCAGGTAGGCGCCCCCCCCTGGAATTCCCCAGGGTTCCTCCTCCCCCATGGAGCAAACTCTTCATCATCGCCTGTGTATGTGGTCTGTCAGGACTTCGCCCTCTGCCGCCAGCCCCCTCTCTCTATAGATATATAGATATCAATGGAAGGTATCTGCGCTGTGTCGGTGTGTCTGGGCGCCATCTTGAAGACATGTGGGAACATCATGCGGGGACAGACACTGTAGGAACCAGCACATCATATTGATATGCTGGGTCTATATTTGGAAAGGCTTCGTTGCATGTTTTGTGCGTTTTATCTCATACTATGCATTAGCAGACCTCTCGGCACGACGAGGGGCTGCTTGCGGCCATCTTGAGCCACATCGCGCGGCTGGGATTGTCTTTGGGATCCTCGCATCTTTCGCTACTTTCGACTAGTCGCGGCCGCGGGCCCACCTCAGAATTCTCAAGAAACGGCGGGGGGGCGCGAATCTGGCGCAATTTGCGAGGGCCTCGGGAACGCGAAGTTGGCGTAGAGTCAATCCGCATGGTAAGGATGGGCACTCTCCCTACCCTTGCATCCTTGCCTCCTTGGTCCATGCTTGGCCATGTTCGTTGGCCGCGCCCCGCCCGAGAAGTTGTGGAATGGGCACGCAAGGCCCTTAAATCCATACGCGCATCCTTATGTTACGGGTCGATTGTGATGTGCGAAAGGGTTCTTTACCCAGGATGCTGGCCTCGGGAGCGCGGATCACGAGCAATTCTGCTCGTCCCATGGTCAATTCTGTGAGGGGTACCCGTTCGGTGCAGGACACAGCTGGTCGCGCGCTCCCGCGCGAGAATCCCGCACACGTGATTATGGCTCAAGAAAAGGAGCTAGATTCATCTCTCTGCCCATCTTATTTCGTGAGGGAGCTGAAACATGGTAGCGCGGAGCTGAGGAGAGTTTCGTGGACCGAAACCCACTGCGCGACTCTCAGGACAGCAGATCGCAGCCATGGAGGCGCAGCCGCTGGCCCAGCATCAACATATTGCGGACCTGCTAGCGACAGTGCAGCAGCTACAAACGCAGCAACGGCAGCAGCAGCAACAGGCCCAACCAGCGGCACCAGTAATGCGCATCGCGCAGCGCTTCGAGGGCGTGCTGGACGCCAAGATCATAGGGAAGGTCAAGCAGTTCGATGGGACCAGAGGCGGCTGGTCAACCTGGGGGTTTCATTGGAGAGCGTACATGGTGGCCAATGATCAGCGCTACAGGGAGTTCTTCGACAAGCTAGACGAGAAGAACCTGGAACACCTGGACGACGCCAAGAATGCCACCATGAGTGTCGATGGTGTGGATTGGGAAGACCTCTCGACACAGCTCTACTACATGCTGGTGCTGGCGATGCCAGAGGATTCCGCGGGAGAGACCATCATGCGCAACGTGTTGCACAGTGAGGGTGGTCAAGCTTGGGTGCGCCTGAAGGCCGATTTTGCGCCCAACGAGCCTGGCAACGTGGTTGCGCGCGTGAGGCAGCTGATGTCCACGCAGTGTCCGACGAACGCGGGCGCGGCCAACGAGATAGAGAAGCTGGGTCTTGAGATCAGCAAGTGCGAGAAGGCGGCCGGCGAGCAGGTGAGCGACAATATCAAGGAGGGGATCTTGCTCGGCGCGCTGCAGAACGAGAGTGGCTTGCAGAAGCATGTCTTCCGCAACCTTCGCAACCTCGCCACTTACCTCGAGGTGAAGGATGAGGCCCTGAGTGCCCTGAAGGCCCAGCGTAGCTTCGGTGGCGACCCGATGGAGATCAATGCGTTGAAAGGGGAGTCGAAGGGACAAGGAAAGGGCAAGGGCGACAAGGACACAGACAAGGGCAAAAACAAGTTCGAGCCGAAGGCGAAGGACAACCCGAATCACCCGGGGAAGTGGTGCAGTCACTGCGAGAAGCCGAACCACGCCAAGGATGGCTGCCGCAAGTTCAAGCGCGAGACGGAAGCCAAGGCCGAGGCAAAGAAGAAGGCCAAGGATGAGAAGAAACAGCGGAGGGCCACGGCAGCAGCACTTGCCGCGGCGGGAGCTCAGGGACCTCACGGAGCTCATCATTCGCAAGACCAGATCACCAACCCGAGCTCGCAGACGTTGACACCCAACACAGTGTACGCGATGACGCAGCTGACAGGGCCAAGTTCATCGGGAGCAACGCCGACGGCGAACACGCTCCCCACGATGCCGCTAGGAATGCGAGGGGCCAACGGTCTCTTCGCAGATCAGGACACGATCCAGCCGAAGTACATATTTGCCTTGTCGGTGGAGATGTCGAAGCAGAGGTCGAGGTCCGCAGAGCACGCGCGCTCGAGAGGAAGAGACGACGGAGACAGTGTTCGTATCGCGGCCGCTCGTGGAGTCCAAGGGGTCATGATCGACTCTGGAGCTCAGGTCACCGCGTTCCCCATGCAATATGCTGAAGGACAAGGGCTACGAGCTCGCCAACTCGCGCACCTCCAAGCTGCAGGCCATCGACGGCACGCAGGTCCAGCACTACGGCAGGACGGGCGCCCGACACAAAACGGGTCGGGACGTGATCCAGATCTCGGCGGAGGCCGCCGACGTTGAGTTCCCCGTGCTGTCTTCCGACGCGATCACCAAGCAGGGCAAGTCGGTCATCCACCCCCCCTTGGGCGACTGGATCGTAGACAGTCCGATCTCACCTCCGACGGCAGCGAGGTCGATCAAGCTGACGAAGGATCGAGGCACGTGCTACCTGGAGTACGACGATGCTGGACAGCGGGGCCATAGGCAAACGCGCGGTGCGCATGGCGGCCACTGCCGAGCCAGAATACTGCGAGGAGGTCGGCGACGAGCAGCTAGGTGAGCAGCTGTGCATCGGTGCGACGCGCAAGACCCTGCCAGCGCAGGTGCCAGACGCGCAGGACCGACAGCAGCTGCCGACGGCGCTTGGGCCAGACCCCAGCGATAACGTCACCCTGAAGGCGAAGGAACTCTCCAGGCCAGGACAACCCTCGGCGGAGGAGAGGAGAGCTCACGTAGCACATCATCTTCCTTTCAGGTCATGGTGCAGCGAGTGCGTCATGGGCCGCGGGAAGGACGCCCCCCACGAGATGAGCTCAGAGCAGAAGAAGGAAGGCGAGTACCCCGTTGTGGAGATGGGCTTCTTCTTCGCGGCCACGGACGAGATCGCCAGGAAGCACCCCATGATAAATGGCTACGTCGTCAAGGTTGTTGACTTTTGGAAGCTAGAGCAGAAGGAGCGGGGAGAGATGCCCGCGATCCTGAACGTCGCGGACTGCAGGTCCAACGCGTCTGCCACGCTGTTCGGCTCCAAGCAGATGGGTGACTGCAAGGCGCACTACGTCGCCAAGCTCGTCGACAGCTGGGGCCACGCGACTGTGATTCTGCTCACGGATGGCGAGAACGCAATCGTTGCCGTGGCGGAGCAGGTGAAGCAGCTCAGGTCGCACTCTACGGTAGCGCGGCAAGGTCCAGCGTACTCATCCAAGAGCATGGGGGCGCATTGAGGCCAGCAATGGAGCAACTGCGGGACTACTTAGCACGCTGCGGTTTTCCCTCGAGACCAAGCTAGGCTGCAAGCTCGAGCTAACGGACTCCATCCTCGCCTTCCTGGCCAACACCGTCGGCTGGTACATCGCGAGGTCCCAGCCGAGGAGCCGCGGGGGATCCAGCTACAAGTACCTCGTCGGGCGAGAGTATGCTGGTGAGGTCGCGGAGGTCGGCGAGCAGGCATGGCATCGCATCGCGTCGTCCCGCGTTGCAGCGGGCCAGGGCAAGTTCGAGCATCTGGGTTGGTTGGCAAGTCGGAGTTCGATGGCCAGCGCCTGGTGGTGGACCTGCAGCGGGGCCTCCTGAAGGTGCGCGCGGTCCGCCGCATGCCCGAGGAGTTCCGTTGGAACGCCGAGCTTGTCAAGCAGATCGACGTCGCGCCCTGGCCCCAGTACCTGAGAGAGTGAAGTCGACCATCAGGAAGTCCATGTATATCACCGAGAACATGCTGAACACGTATGGCCCGACGGACAACTGCCCCAAGTGCTCCTACGGAAAGGGCCAGCACAGTGACCAGTGCAGGCAGCGCTTCGAGACGATCGCGCAGGAGAGGCTGGAGGCGAAGCTCTTGGAGGAGACCAAGGGCGGAGTGGCACCCGGAACCCCGGCTCCACAGCAGGGGCCTGCTCAACCACGAGCAGCCGCGGACGGAGCCGCAGGGCAGCCGTTGGCGCAGGGCAGCACTCCAGCGTCGACCGCAGCTCCTACCACACCCATGCCCGCGGCCGCATCCGCTACACACGGGATGGACATCTGTAAGTCTGGGGCGTCTGCGCGGGAGCCTGTCCAGGAGGCCGCCGAGCCGAACAAGCGACAGCGGATCGGCGCCCTGGTGAAGGCACCCGAGGTGGTGGTCCTCGCTGGTTTCTCGGTCTGTGAGCTGGCAGTCTGCGAGGAGGACGACGACCAGGGGGAGGGTCCGCCTTGGGACATGATCCCGAAGGCTGCTGAGCGGCGCGACGGCCTGTGCGAGGGCCATGTGGGGCGCTGCGCTTACCGACGCGATCACGACGGAGAGTGTGCGTGCAGGAGGTGCCTCATTGGAGCTGCCAAGAAGCTCAACCCCGACGCGGAGGTCGTGGCTAGCCTGTGCGCGTTGTGGTCGAGACGTCTGACAGCTGAACAGTGCGACTGGAGCCAGGAGCCCGAGCTTGCTGCGAAGATCCATTACGATTACTACACTGGAGAGCCCCTTGACGAAGTCAAGTACCAGAAGGGCAAGGCAGATGAACTCCAGGCCATGGCCGAGTACGGCGTGTACCGCAAGATCCGCATCGCCGACTGCGTGCCTGGAGGCAAGCACGTGGGAGGAATTCCCATTGCTCACGAGAAGGCGGGCGGGGTGCGTTGGCGCTGTGTGGCGACCGAGGTGGCCCATCAGCATCGCGAGGACAACCGCCAAGGCACACCGCCGCTGGCGATGATCCGATCGATCCTGAGTTTAGCCGCCAGCAGGCCAGACAAGGACGGGGGGCACAGACGGTGCATCCGCATCTGGGATGTTCGCAAGGCGTTCTTCAACAGCGACCTGCACGAGAAGATCTACGTTCACCCAGGGAGCGAGCTCTGCGAGCGAGGCTGCTGCTGGGAGTTGCTCAAGGCGCTGTGCGGGACCCGCCTGGCTAGCCAGTTGTGGGGTGAGAACGTGAAGGCCACCTCAGACGACGCAGGAGGCAAGGCTTTGAAGGGTGCGCCAGGCATGTTCTACTTCGCCAACCTCTGCGGCGACGGCGACGACGCTACGGTGGGGGTGCACGGCGACGACTTCATTGCAGAGGGCCACATCGCGACGCTGGACCAGCTGGACGAAGTCTTGAGCACGGATTACGAGATCACCTCATCTCCCCCGCTCGGTCCTGGACATCCTGGAGTGGCCCGCTACCTCAAGCGCAGCTGCGTCCATGCCGACCAGCTGCCCGAGACACTGCTGCCAGGCTTCTTCTGGCATGCCGACCCGAAGCACGTTTCGGAGATCATCAAGTTCGGTTCCAAGGAGGGCGCGAAGATGGTCGACGCGCCTGGCACCAGGGCGATAGGAGCTCAGCTACGCAACGCACTGGGCCCGATGCCCACGGCTGAGTGGCGCAAGACGGCATCAGCAGGAGGATTGACACTCTACTTGGCAGCAGATCGGCCAGATATCATGTTCGCGAGTAAGACCACCAGGCAAGACGTGAGCAAGCCGAGCTACCAGATGAACGCGAGGCTCATGAGGTTAGCACGCTACTCGGAGGGCCATCAGGTTCTGGTCTGGTGCTACGAGCTGCAGGAGCTTCCGAAGATCCTGAGAGCTGACGGGGATGCCGACTGGGCAGCTCCAACATCCGTGGCGCGGAAGAGTACATCTGGCGGAGTGATCAGGTTTGGCAACCACACCTTGGAGTGCTACTCGGCCAGCCAGGCCACCCAGGCCTTGAGCAGCGGCGAGTCGGAGTTCTACGCCCTGGGGTCGGTCGCGGCGCGAGGCTTGCAGATGAAGTTCTTCCTGCGCGAGATCGAGATCGAGGTGGGCCTGGCGGTCGCGTCGGACAGCGCAGCAGCGCGAGGCACGGCTCAGAGGCATGGAGTGGGCAAAGGGCGCCACTTGGAGCTCCGATACCTCTGGGTGCAGGAACGAATCCGACTGCAGATGTTCAAGTTCGTGAAGGAGGACACTCGCAAGATGGTGGCGGACATCCTGACCGAGTACGTGGATAAGGACAGCATGGCGACGCACCTGCATGAGCTGAACCTGAGGATGGCACGGGCCCCGATGATCGTCGCCACCCTGGCGATGAACTCTGGGGTGGCGAGGGCCGAGGATCAATGCGTGACGAGTCTGGAGATCGAGAAGCAGACGCTGGAGCAGTCAGAGCCTTTTCCCTGGCTGCTGCTCAGCTTGGCAGTGGTGCTGTGCTCCGTAGCTTACCTCGTCGGCTGGCACATGGGTAGGCGCAAGGCCGTCGCTCGGACAGTTGAGGAGGGCCCAAGAGTGGCCATGGTAGGCAGGAACTGGACACCGCATGGAGGACTTTCCGAGCTGAAGGTGCACCCGAACCTCGATGACAAGAAGCAGATCACGAGGGAGGTTCACCGCCTGTACGGTGCTTACACTGTTGACGAGCTGAGGGAGCTGCTAGGCAGGCGTGGCCTGGTGCTGAAGAGGGGCTACACCAAGAAGGAGGAGCTCATCGAAAATGCCAGGGACACCAGCCCGACGGAGATGCATATTCTCACCCAGCTGACGATGGAGTTGAAAGACCACGGGATCGACGTGAAGTGGCGTGCTCGCATGCTTGCGAGCGGGGATGACATCAATAATATGATCACCACCACCACGGAGGTCGTGGACCGCCTGCGAGAGCTCCTCCGCTGATCCCGAAGGAGCGGACCGTGGATGAGGGTTCAGTCGCCACTTTTGTGACGTAGCCCGCTCGCGTACACAGCGACCCCGAGGAGAGGTGCTCGTCCCATGGTCAATTCTGTGAGAGGTACCCGTTCGGTGCAGGACACAGCTTGTCGCGCGCTGCCGCGCGAGAATCCCGCACACGTGATTATGGCTCACGAAAAGGAGCTCGATTCATCTCTCTGCCCATCTTATTGAATCGCTTCGCTCATTCCGCCGGCCCGTGATATGGCATCGCTGGTTTTTGTCTGTGTGTTCGTTGCCCATGTTGCGCTCTTGGGGGCGGGTGTCGTTCGGACGCGTTGCGTGGGGAGTTTTGATGGTGAAGCAGTTCCCTGGGGGTCGTCTCTCGATGGGGCGAAATAGAGTCGTCGTCAAGATGCTTCTTTGGGGGGCCTCTTGGGGTCTGTTGAGAGGCCGTTCGGGGGCGCCTGGGAGACATGTTTGAAGCCTTCTGGGGCTTCTTTTGGGCCTCCTGGGAGTCTCCTGGGGCCTCTTGGCGACATCTTGGGGCCTCTTGGAGGCCTCTTGGGGCCTCTTTGGGACCTCCTGGGCGCCTTCTGGGACGGAGGGCTCCATTTTTGAGTTCTCGGTATCCCTCCTGAGTCCCTCTTGGGCCCGTCTTGGGGCCTCTTGGTCCGTCTTGGGCGGCACTTGGGCCGTCTTGAGGGCTCTCTTGGGTCGTTTCGGCGCCGTCTTGGGAGCTTCGTGGGCCGTCTTGGAGCGGTCTTGGGGGCCTCTTGGGCCGTCTTGGAGCGTCCGGAAGCCGAAAAAGCCAGAACACAAAAAACATCTAAAAAACCAATGAAAATCAACGATTTTGGCCTCTTGGGGCTCTCTTCGGAGGCCTCTTGGAAGGCTCTTAGGGCGTCTTGGAGGCCTCTTGGGCTGTCTTGGGGGCCTTTTGGGCCGTCTTGGGGTCATCTTCGGCGTCTTCGAGCGCTCTTTAGGCGTCTCGGGGGCCTCTTGGGCAGTCTTGAGGGCCTCTTGGGGCACTCTGAGCGCGCTCTGGGGAGCCTGAGAGGCCGCACCCAGAAGGAAAACCATCTCTGAGTAGACTTGGTCGGGCGGCGACCGGGCGTTGGTCGGGGTACTTTTCGCCGGGGGTTCATCTCTCTGCCCATCTTATTTCATGAGAAAGCTGAAACACATTCACTGTGGATTCTGGCCTCTGGAGCGCGACCCACAGGTAATTTACGAAGGATACTGGTGTCCTTTTGGACCCCCCAGGGGAACTCTGAGAACCCCAGGGGGGGAAGGTAGTAAAAGGCTGATGTTCGGCTGCCCCCCCCGCGTGGACAGCAACAGTTTACAGCAGGAGGCAGACAGCAACATCATCACACTGGAAGCTGGCATTCGTGCAGGATTCAGGACACCCCCGGCACTCAGCCTGATGGCCCCACATGAAGGCCGGCGGATCTTCACCACCGTCAGGATCATTGCCATCGACAGCAGAACCATGGCCATTGTGGAGCCGTTTTGGCTCAAGCGCTTTTGCCCCGTTCGCTCCGCAAGCGCGCCGCCCCAGGCTCGTCCCGGCAGTGCCCTGGGCAGCCATGGCTCTCTCGGCGTTCGCGGTGGCCCCGACGCAGCCGGCCGCGCCTGCCGGGCGTTTCCTCGCGCCTGCGGCGGAGGCTCGGGGCCGACCCGAGCCTTCGGGCGCGGAGTCCTCCGTGCACGCGGCGGTGGGCCCCGGCGTCGTCGGGCTCGCCGCGGCAGGGGGCGCGGCGGCGCTCGGCCTGCGGCGGAGCGGGCGATCGAAGAGGTCCGGCGGGGCCCGCGGCGCCAGGGTCGTCGCGTGCGCCCGCGGCGGCGAGGCAGACCTGCGCGCGTGCATCCCCCTGGAGGAGCTCCGCAACAGCGACGTGCCGAAGGCCTGGCATCGCTCGGACGTGTGCATGTTTTTCTCGGCGAGAACCATCGAGGACCATCCTGGACCATCGAGCAAACAAAACACGCACGAAACCGAAAAATGCACGCGAAATGGACGTCCGAGCGATGGCAAGAAGGTGGGCGGCAAGAGCGCGTCCCTGGGCGAGATGATCGGGGGGCTCGCGGACGCCGGCGTCCCGGTGCCCGGGGGCTTCTCCACGACGGCCCAGGCGTACAAGGATTTCCTCCTGCAGGACGGCCTGGGCGATAGGATCAACGCGGCGCTCGAGGACGAGGCCATCTACACCGACGTGACCAGGCTGCAGGAGGTGGGGAAGAAGGTGCGCCAGATGGTCATGGACCAGCCTCTGCAGGCCGAGTTCGAGGAAGAGCTGAAGAGGCAGTGGGATCGCGTCTCGCAGGGGAACGAGGGCTTCCAGGTCGCCGTGCGCTCCTCCGCCACCGCGGAGGACCTCCCTGACGCGTCGTTCGCCGGCCAGCAGGAAACGTACCTGAACGTGTCTGGGTACGAAAACTTGAAGGAGAAGGCTCGAGGAAGGAAACTAAACACATAAACGTAAATTTGTATTGTTCCGCGCGGATTACTCGGAACAGCGCTGGTGCCCCCCTGGAGGCGCCTCCAGCACCGCCGCTGGCGCGCTCCGCGCGCAAGGGAGGGGTCCTGGCGCCGATCCAAGAAATCCGCGCGCAGCTCCGAAAATGAAAGCTTCTGTTTTTTCCGACTGCTCCTGAAGAGGTGCACCAGTGCTACGCCTCCCTCTTCACAGATCGCGCCATCTCCTATCGCCACGACAAGGGCTTCGACCATAGGTCGAAAAATAATAAACGACATAAACATAAACTTTTTGCGTTCCGCGCGGATTTCTTGGATCCGCGCTGGCTCCCCCCGGCGGCGCCTCTGGCGCCGCCCCTGGCGCGCTCCGCGCGCCAGGGAGGGGGGTCCAGCGCAGATCCAAGAAGTCCGCGTGGAGCGCCAACGGATTATGTCTATGGCGCTTTTCTTCTTCTGACAGGACGGTGCAGCTGTGCGCGTGTGTGCAGAAGATGGTCCGCAGCGAGACGGCGTCCGCGGGCGTGATGTTCACCCTCGACACCGAGTCTGGTTTCACGGACGTCGTCTTCGTCACCTCGGCTTGGGGCCTCGGGGAGACCGTGGTCGGTGGGACCGTCAACCCCGACGAGTTCTACGTCTTCAAGCCGACGCTGCAGGAGGGCAAGAACGCAGTGGTGTCCAAGACAATGGGCTCTCAGAGGAGGAAGAGGTACCGTACATCTATCCTTCCGTCGTTTTCCCCTTTTTGGGCCTTCCTGGCGGCCCTCGTCGCCACCGCTGGATTCGCCTCGAGATCTTGGTCAGGACCGACCCCAGGAGAGGTCTGGGGAGTAGCGGTATCGGTACCTTTTGGTCCCCCCAGGCTCCAAGCTCGTCAAGATGGTCTACGCCAAAGAGGGCGGCAGCGAGACCATCGACACCACCGCGGAGGAGCGACGCACCTGGTCTGTCACGGACGAGGAGGTCACGCAGTTGGCCCAGATCGCCATGAAGATCGAGAAGCACTACGGCAGGCCCATGGACATCGAGTGGTGCAAGGACGCCGACGACGGCCTGCTCTACGTCGTCCAGGCCCGCCCAGAGACGGTGGCATCGCGCCAGAAGAAGAACGTGCTCGAGACATACTCCATGGAGGAGCGCGGCGCGGTCTTGTGCGAGGGACGAGCAGTCGGCGGCCGCATCGGCAGCGGTAAGGTCAACATGCTGACCAGCCTGGACGCCATGGCTGACTTCAAGGCTGGAGACGTGCTCGTTGCCGACATGACCGACCCCGACTGGGAGCCAGTGATGAGCAAGGCCTCCGCGATCATCACCAACCGCGGCGGTCGCACCTGCCACGCGGCCATCATTGCCCGCGAGCTCGGCATCCCTGCCATCGTCGGCAGTGGCGACGCCACGGAGAAGGTTAAGAATGGTGACATGGTGACCGTTTCCTGCGCGGAGGGAGACACTGGCTTCGTGTACGAGGGGGAGCTCAAGTTCAAGAAGGATGTCAAAGATTTGGATACGCTCCCCGAGATTGGCTTCAAGATTATGATGAACGTGGGCAACCCCTCAGCCGCCTTCGAGTTCGGGCAGATCCCTAACGAGGGCATCGGACTTGCCCGATTGGAGTTTGTAATCAACAACGCGATCGGCATCCACCCGAAGGCGCTGCTCAATTACGACACCATCGACCCCGAGACGAAGGCCATCATCGACGGGAAGATCAAGGGGTACGAGTCGCCCGTGGAGTTCTACGTCTCGAAGATCGCGGAGGGCGTGGCGACCCTGGCAGCCTCCGTGTACCCGAAGCGCATCATCGTGCGCCTCTCGGACTTCAAGTCGAACGAGTACAAGTCCCTGGTGGGAGGGGAGGCCTACGAGCCCGACGAGGAGAACCCGATGATCGGCTTCCGCGGTTGCGGACGCTACGCGGACCCCGCGTTCGAGGAGTGTTTCGCGCTGGAGCTCAAGGCGATGAAGAGGGTGCGCGAAGATATGGGCATGACGAATGTGGAGCTGATGATCCCTTTCGTGCGCACGTTGGACATGGCGGCGGACGTGCTCGACATCCTGAAGAAGAACGGCCTGGAGCGCGGCGCCAACGGTCTGAAGGTGAACATGATGGCCGAATTGCCCTCGAATGTCTTCCTCGCCGAGGAGTTCTTGGAGTACTTCGACGGCTTTTCCATCGGCAGCAACGACCTCACGCAGCTGACCCTCGGGCTGGACCGCGACTCGGGCCTGGTTGCCCAGTACTTCGACGAGGAGAACCCGGCGGTGCTGAAGAGCCTGTCGATGCTTATCCAGGCCGCCAAGAAGAAGGGCAAGTACGTGGGCATTTGCGGCCAGGGCCCTTCCGACAAACCAGAGTTGGCCAAGTGGCTCATGGACGAGGGTATCGACTCGGTGTCCCTGAACCCTGACAGTGTCATCCCGACCTGGCTGTACCTGGGTGGAGCGACCCCGGAGTGAAGCCCCGGAAGGGCCCCCCCTCGGCACCTCGGTGGTCGGCAGTTTTCTCGGGGCCTTGCCCCTTCGCGCCGTAGCGCGCCGCGAAGCCTTCTCTGAGCGCCTCGAAGCTGCAGGGTCCTTATTGGAGTCTCTTGCGGCTGGTGGTGTGCTTGGCCGTGGTACTTGGCCAGCCGCTGTGCTTTGTATCTCGCAGCTCAGCTTGGGTGCTCAGGGTTTCTCTCTGCAGGGGAGTCAAATCCAGAGGCTCACGCCATTCCGCCGGCCCCCCAACGAGGCGATGAGCCTTTGGACATTGCTTGGGCGAGGTGGGCGCTCGAATGTCTTTCGTGACGACGTGGGCTTCAGCTGCTATCTTGGCCGATTGTTATTTTGACCTCTAATAGTGTGTGTGTGTGTGTGTTAGTGATTCTTCAGTGTCTGGTCAGGAGGAGGGGGAGAAGGAGGAGGGGGAGCGCATGGTGAACAGTGAGAAATCAGAAGACTACAAACGAGGACGGCACGGGGATATGAGGGAGGGAGGGTGGAGGAGGAGGACGAGGAGGAGGAGGAAGCACGAGCGGTCCACCAGGAGAGGGAAGATGAGCACTTGTAACGTTGTAGCGCCTTTTGGGGCCTCTAGGGAACATTTTTGGGGCGTCTGAAGGCTTCTCTTGGGCTTTTGGGCCTCTCGGAGCCTGCTGGGGGGTTCTTGGGCGCCTGCTGGCGGTCTCGGGGGTGCTCTTGGGGCGGAGGGCTCGACATGTCAATTCGAGTTTCGTCTACTGGGCCCCCCTTGGGACCCTGTCGGGGTCCTCTTTGGCCGTCTCAGGCGCCTCTTGGGTCGTCTTGTGGCCCTCTTGGGCCGTCTATATACCCTCTTATGGGGTATTTTGGTCCGCTTTGGAGCGATCTTGCGGGCCTCTCGAGCCGTCTTGCACGCTGTCAAAACTAAAAGGGCGAACGTGCAAAGCATGCACGCTTTCTTGAGGGATTGGGGCGCGTTTTGCCTCTTGGGACCCTCGTGGGGGTCCTTTTGGAGCCATTTTGCGGCGTCTGCAAAACTTCTTGGGGCTTATTTAATTGAACGCCCCTGAGGGGGCAGACACCGCCGCCCCACTTTTTTGGGAACCCGGAGTTTCCGTGCGGGGGGATGCTCCTGAGGTTCTCTTGGGGCCTTCTAGTTGGATTCTTGGAGGCCTTGGAGGCTCTCCTGGGGCTACGTTGCCGCAAGCAGACAGCAAGCCTTGACCAACGTGAGCACCGTCGACCAAAGCGCAATGCTCCCCGACACAGAACATCTCAAGTGAAACGCCAGCGCGAGCGGGTTGCGGTCGACAATGATGACCACGCTGTTGCCATTTTGCTCTCGAGCTCGATCAAGGGTTTTTGGAAGCCGCTGTACTGGCAAGGTCGCAGTCATGGCACGTTCGTTAAAGCGTCACCTTTCTGACGAGCTTCGCAGGGTAGAGCGCGAAAAAGGTATCGGAGACGCCTACGGCAAATCACGGCCGGCCCCATGCCTTTATTGGAAGCGTCTATGTGGCCGAAAGTTGGGCCAGAGCTTGCCCAAATTATCGGACCATGTGGTGCGGAGGCGTTATGGAAAACCTTCAGGCAGCACAAGGAGCAGGAGGAGGAGGAGGAGGTGGAGGAAGAGGAAGAGGAGGAGGAGGGAGGAGGAGGAGGAGGAGGAGGAGGAGGAGGGGAAGGAGGAGGAGGGGGGGGAGAATCGGGGAGAAGGACGGGGAGGGAGCTTCTGTTGAACTCTTGCGGCGTATTGGGATCTCTGGGGAGGGTTTCGGGCGCCTTTTGAGGTTTTTTGGGGAGCTCTTCGCGCTCTGTGGGGGCGTCTTGGAGGCTTTTGGGCCGTTTTAGAGTTGTCTTGGCCCGACTGACTCTTTGAGGCCGTCTTGGGGAGATCTCTGGGCTGTCTTGGTGCCCTCCTAGGGCACTTCTCGGGAGTTCTGGAGGCATTCTTGGACGTTTTGGAAGCATGTGGGGCCGTCTAGGGGTTCTGTTGGGGCCGTCTTGGGGGCCGCATGGGACGCCATGAGGCCACCTTCGAAGCCTCTTGGGCGATCTTGGGAGCCTTCCGATCCGTATGGGGCCGTCGGAAAGGTGAAAACACGCAAATGCCAAAAACCGAGCAGAACGTTTCGAAAATCAATGTGTTTGGCTTCCTGGGGCCTTCCTGGAGAACTTCGAGGTCTTTTGGGCCGTCTTTGAGGCCTCTGGGGGGCCGTTCGGGCGGTGTTCAGCCATCGGAGGCCGTCTTAGGCCGTTTCGTGTCCAATTTGGGAAATATCGGAAGAATCGTCGAGCCATTGTAGCCGTCTTGGGCCGTCTTGGAGACCATAGTGGTCATTGTGAAGACAGTGTGGGATCCATTTCGGGCCATCTCGACGGTCTTGGGAAGGATTTGATGATTAGTGCGGGCCTTGCGCGGCCGAACGGGCTCTTCTGGGTGGCCGGCGGGCTGGGCCGTCTACTGACGGATATAAGACAGAGATCGCATGAGAACCTGGAGAATTCTCCATTTCGTGCCTCGAGGCACGGTAGCGGATTTCTGAACGGACACGTCGGCTTCACAAGCGGAAGATCAAACAAGGGACTCACTTTGTGCACATTTCTCGTCGTACCAAAGCGTTTGCCCTGGGGCAATGGACTCGAAATTACCACAAGGCGTTATTTTTGCTTTCCATGATTATCCGCACCCTTTTTGAGAAGAGCAGCATATTGAGGGACGAAGAGTGTGCACAGTCAGAAATTCGCATTCATGGCCGGTTCGCACGCCAATGCTTTTTATTTAGGAACTTGCCGGGGCAGTTTCGGTGCAGAGGCCTTCGGCAGAAAAAAACGAAAAAAGACAGGTTCGGCGCAGAGCCTTTCAACAACCTATGTAAGGCGATGGCGCGGATGCACTGTCATAGTCCTTTCAATAAGCGGGACGAAGTGCACGCATGCACGATCAACTTGGTAAAGAACGCTGGGAATACTGAAAGGAAAGTCATGATGGCCAGCTTTTTTTTGGAGTTCAGTTTCCTGACGCATTTCGAAAAGAACGAGTCCAAGTTATTGGAGTTGGCCCGAATGAGTCCCAGGAAATTTGCCCAGAGCTGCTATAAGAGTGCCTTCGGCATGTGCCCGCTTGTTCCTTCCATCAGTCCCGCCTCGTGCAGAGCTTCGGGGGCCCAGGGGGCAGGACGTGAAGCCGTCACTCCAGACGGGCCCTGGTCGTTCAAAATCGATGCACTTACCCGCCAAGAAGCCGGGTGTCACGCCATGCCATTCAGTGCGGTGTTTCGTTGTTCCACTGCGCGATGCCAGGCTGCGCAACGCGCAGCTTTGTGATGCAACGCTTCGGTCGTCCTCTGGTTTCGTTTTCGTGGTATTTTCCTATTCCTTCGCATCGTTCTCGTGTTGTTCTCCTCGTCTGACAGCTTCCCCTGTCCTGGTTGTCCCCCCGTGAGTTTCTGCGTCTGGATGTTGCGTGCACCCCTGGGGCCGTTTAGGGCTCGTGCCTGATGGCGGCCTGTGCATCTGGTACTTTCAATGCGGTGTGGACGTCGTGCGGTGTGGACGTCGCCACGAGCGATCCGGGAGAATCTAGCTCATTCGCCGCCGTCCTCCGTGCATGTCTCGTTTTGATTTCCCCTTCACGTTCGTTGTGATGGTGATCATCCTTATCTTCCTCCTCCTCTTCATGTGTCTTCTCGTGATCATCATCATCGTCGGGTCATCGTTGCCATGGTCATTATCGCCATGATGCCACCACCATCATCATTCGCCAAATTACGCTCGGATGGAGGGCGTCCGCGGATAACCGCGGCATTATTCCGGTGACTTGCCGATTCGGGCAGGGGAAGCAAAAATCTTGGCACAAGCAGCTTGTGGACTTTTTGAAAGGAGAGAAAGAGCACAATTATATAAGTTTAGTTACGCAAATTTATGAAGAACGCGTTCTTACTGTGGAACAGGCACGCGTTATTGCTTCGATAGTGGCGCTAGGGCCAGACAACTCCATGGCTCGCATGACCAGCCTGATAGCAGTACTAAAATCAAAGAAAGGATTCGGAGCGCTTTCGGTCAAGAATGTCATTGAGGTTCTTCGTGTGCACAACATATTGGCAAATATTTCTTTAGAAGAAACATCAAAAATCCCAGACGGGCCTGGGGCAGCCCAATTTTGGAGACTGACAAAGATCAGTCGAGACGAGATGGTGGCATATCTTAAAGACACTATTCAAAACATGAAAGACGTTGCCCTCAGAACGGGCAAGAAACCAGTGGCAGTCTCATTATCCACAGGGAAAACTGTCGAGTACGACATGAACCAGTTAGGATTTGAGGAGAGCAGCGTTGACCACGCGCTCGCTCAATATTGGTCTTGTGCCCAGAGCCGCATTCTGGCAGCCTACGAGTGTGTATCTCGGGGTGCTGAGCGGCCAATCCCCTACCATTTGCTGCCTAACAAACGTATTTTGGAAATCATTGCTGGCTTGTCTGAGTTTGCGGATTCAGAGAGCAGTGACGACTCAGTAGAGGATGAGGAATAGACGCCAAGTGTATAATCATCATCATTACATTTCCATCATCAGTACTGGGTGTTGGGTTCGGTGAGGGTTGGCCGTTTGATCCAGAATGCTGTCTTTGGTGAGGGTTTGCCGTTCGCTCTCGGGAGGTGGCTTCGGTGGGTGCTTGCAGTTTGCTCCTGGAGTTTGGCGTAGTGGACGGTTGCCGTTTGATCCGAAGTGCTGGCTCCGGCGGGGGGTTGCCTTTTGATCCAGGGCGCCATGTGCAGTGGAGAGTTGCCGTTTGAGCCAGGGCGCTGGCTGTGGTGAGCGTTGCCGTGATCCAGGGCGCTGGCTTTTGTGAGGTTTTGCCGTCTGCCCCGGGCGGTGGTTTTGGTGGGGTTTCGCCGTTTGTTCCTGGCGGTTGGGTGCGGTGGAGGATTGTCGTCTGATCCAGGGTGCTGGCCCTGGGGAGGGTTTGCCGTTTGATCCGGGGTGTTGGCTTGGGTG